AAGTGAATTTTAACACACGTGTATACACAAATAGAAACAAAGTGGGCCATGGGTGGAAGCTCAAACTGTTTAGGCCATGTCTTCCCCAATGTACTCTAGGTTTAGTAGGGACACTGGACACCCTGGTTCTTTTTTTTTTTTTTTAACTTTTATTTAATGAATATAAATTTCCAAAGTACGATTTATAGATTACAATGGCTTCCCCCCCATACCGTCCCTCCCACCCACAACCCTCCCCTTTCCCACTCCCTCTCCCCTTCCATTCACATCAAGATTCATTTTCGATTATCTTAATATACAGAAGATCAGCTTAGTATACATTAAGTAAGGATTTCAACAGTTTGCTCCCACACAGAAACATAAAGTGAAAAATAATAGATGATTTTTTTAAAATGATTAAATCTCAATGCACAGCACATTAAGGACAGAGATCCTACATGAGGAGTAAGTGCACAGTGACTCCTGTTGTTGACTTTACACATTGACACTCCTGTCTATGGCATCAGTAATCTCCCTATGCTCCAGTCATGAGTTTCCAAGGCTATGGAAGCCCTCTGAGTTCTCCGATTCTTATCTTGTTTAGACAAGGTCATAGTCAAAGTGGAGGTTCTCTCCTCCCTTCAGAGAAAGGTACCTCCTTCTTTGAAGACCTGTTCTTTCCACTGAGATCTCACTCACAGAGATCTTTTGCCAGAGTGTCTTGGCTTTCCATGCCTGAAATACTCTCATGGGCTTTTCAGCCAGATCCGAATGCCTTTAGGGCTGATTCTGAGGCCAGAGTGCTATTTAGGACATCTGCCATTCTATTAGTCTGCTGAGTATCTCACTTCCCATGTTGGATCACTCTCCCCTTTATTTATTCTATCGGTTAGTGTTAGCAGGTACTAGACTTGTTTATGTGCTCCCTTTGACTCTTAGTCCTTTCATTATGATCAATTGTGAACTGAAATTGATCACTTGGAACAGTGAGATGGCATTGGTACATGCCACCTTGATACACCCTGGTTCTTTCCTTAGTCTATATCAATTTGCAAGGCTCTTTGCCCAAAATTTGCCTTGTGGCTCTTTTTGCAGTATGTAATCCAACATTCAGTATCTGAATCTATAAATGAGAAATAATTTTCTTTGGTTGCATTAGAACAAAGTTTGACTAATAGAAGGCAAACAATTGACATCTTTTGGGGTATTCCAGGGCAAAAAATTAGCACCTTCAGAAGTTGAGAAGTTGTGGCTTTCAGGTTCTAGACTCCAACTCACTTCCACCTACTCTCTCATCCAACAAGGTGCTATATAAGCTTTTCATAAGTACATAATTGAGTCTCCCAGTGTTAATTTTAACTTGTTATCCAATCATTACATTTTTGTTTTTCCTATGACATCTTGGTCTTTCAACTGGATACCTGCCTACCTAACAAGATTCAAGTACAAATACAAATGAAAGAAAGTTGGCAGTGGTCAAGGCCCAAACATAGCTACTTTCAAACCCAAAATAAATGGGCTGAAAAACAAGAACCATTATATTGATGGACCATATTGTTTAAAAATGATGACTCAGTTGCTTTTCTTAATATGTTCTATAATCAGGAAATCATGTTGTATTTCCTTTTTACATGTGTTTAACAAAAAGTGCTTGGATCACTTTTTGCTTTATATTTTCCTGTAACACTACAAAAATTTTTGAATTTATTTAAAATTGATTATTTAATTAACTTAACTCTGTGTATAGGATACAACTATCTTCTTATTCATACAATTCACAATCCATTAGATTCCAAAAGTTAACTTTTCCATGCTACTTTATTTCTAGTAGTAGCAGGTAAAAACCAATGGATTTGGGTGAAGTGACATTCACTTAACTGTGTGCTCAGTGAAGCTTGTAATAGTGTTAACAGAGGAGCAAAAGATAGCTAGAAAAGAGAATGGCACCATGGTTTATTAGTACTGAATTTCTGTCTTGGCCTACAAAGGAAGCGTTCATTGCACTGACCAGAAGGAAACAAAACTAGGGAGGTACCTACACCTCTCTTTCTAGCCTTTTGTTCAGCCCTCACAATGGGGAGCAAAGTAATTTATCTAATTTGTGAGATTAGTACATATTGCACATAATTAGATTGGCTTCTTCCTCACCTCTTTTTCACAGTGGCATGCTCTTTGAAAGAATTCCCTGCCCTTCCAGGAAACGATTTTACCACATTGTCAGTGGTATACAGCAGTGAATACAGTAGAGAAGAGGTAAGGTAGAGTACCTCACTTTCAGGCAAAAGGTATTCAGATCCTCTGAGGACACCTATTAATCTGTAATGAAGCAGCTATTTTTATGTGATCTGTCTGAATAGTGTATAGACTTCTTACTTGGTTTAGAACTCAATGGAAAGGAGACTGACATAATTATCAGCACCAATCTCAGTAATAGTCAGTGTGCCTGACCTAAATTTAAACCCTAGTAGTTCTCCTAACAGGTACTTCTTTCTAGAAAATCCCCTGACTTTGGATGACCTGTTATTATTATTATTATTATTATTACACAGGATAGTTTTACATTGAGTGTAATGAGTTATGGTCAGTGGTCATGGATTGATTTATTCTGCTTCAGAAACCATATATGCTATATCAAATTTGAGATAATTATGACAGATTCTTTTGTATAGTATGAAAAATATGAATCTGAAAATGTTACAGAGTCCTTCATGAGCTTTTATAGTTAACAAGTCTACAATGTCAGGCTTTAAATACCCTCAAAGACAGGAATAGCTTATATCACATAATAGTTGAAGTCAGGAATCAGAGAGTTTTGTACATGTCATTAGTACCTCTCCCTGCCTGTGCATGATTGATCTATGGGATAATATAATGATTTGAATGTACATTAATGTTTCTTTTTAAAATTCATTTAATTTATACAGGTTTCATGTATTTCATATATACAGATTTAGAAACATAGTGAAATTTTCCACCCTTCTCTTCCTCCCCTCGCCCCAATGCTCCAACCTTTCTTTCTCCTTCCTTGTCCAAATCCACTGTTAATTTTAACAAAGATCTACTGTAAGTTTACTTAGTGATTGTAAAGTTAAACCTACACTAAGTAAAAGAATTCAACAAATAGTATGAAGGAAAAAAATGTTCTTCAAAAGAAGAGACAAGGGCTGTAACAATCATCAAATCTCAAAATGTCCATTTCATTCCAATACATTACATTTTAGATACTCTATTAGTTATCTGAGATCAGGGAAATAATACGTATGTGTCTTTTTGGGACTGGCTTATTTCACTAAGTATACTGATCCTGAGCTTTTTTTAATGTGTTTGGTAGCCATTTGAATTTCATCTCTTGAAAGATGCTGTTCAAGTCCTTTGCCCATTTCTTAGCTGGATCATTTATTTTGTTGTTGTTGAGTTTCTTGAGCTCTTTATAGATTCTGAATATTAACTCCTAAGCACATTCACAAGAAGCTGGATTTGAAGCTGAATTGATCCTAAGCACTCCAATATGGGATGCATCATTCCAAGTGGTGGCTTATCCTGCTATGTTACAATGCCCTCTCAAACATCCTCATTTTCTGGTTTTTAAAGTAAAATCAAATGAAATCATTCTTTCCCTGAGATTTTTCTTGATTGAAGACACAATGAGTTCCAGTAGAGAACTGAACAGTTCTGAGAGTGACGACTATGAAAATATACTAAAAGCAAGATCAAGAAGAATAAAGAGAAGTACGTTCCTCTGATATCTCATGTATGTGTGTATTTGCATGCATTAGTTTAAGAGTTCTATATGCATTTATGTAAGTTTCATTTACTTACATAATTTCTATCTTTAAAATCCAAATCTTCCTGTAAAGACACATCTTTAACAACATTATTTCTTGCACTTGCCTTCCTCCAGGGGCGGGTTCCCACAAGATTCCCCAGATCCCCTTTCCTATTTGAATGTTCTAGATGCTGGTGTCTTACACTTTGCCCTGGTACCACCAAAAGCTTTTTTCTGTCCAAGCTGTGCTAACTTGGGTAAAAGCCAGAGGCTCCATTCCTGTGAATTGCATAATCTTCATTTGCTCAACCAATAAAGACTGAAGATGTATTTCATTCCAAATTACTTCATGGAAAATACACCAGTTCCAAGTGTATTACATTTTCTCCAAAGAACACATGGTTTAGTCTCATTAGAGAATGTAAATTTATCCTGTTAACTTTGACCTGAGTTGAAAAATACTAGCCTTGGTATTGTTGTGCTGAGAAGCCTTTGCGTCTTCCCAAGTATTATTTGAAGATAAAAATGCCCTGCATTTGCTGAGAGCATGTTATGTAGGAAACTACCTCCACATAGTGGAAGCACTGACTAGGGTCATCTCAGAGGTGAAGGAATAGAAAAGCTTTCAGACTAAATTACAATGGTCAAATCACATGACATATTAAATCAGAATACTGAGCAAGAGACAAGGAGAACGAATGGGACTAGGTAGCACATTTAGATAGATTCAAGCAGCATGAAAGGACTGCACTCCCAGAGTACTGGAGTTCACAGTGTTCATAAACTCTGCTTCTTTCTTGCTGCATCAAGCTTCACAGGTGACAGTTCAGTGATCAGGACCAGTGTTGATGTCTAAGGATGGGCGGGCCACTGAGGAAGATACCCTGATCTAAAGATACACTTTTGCTCTTTCAGATAGATTCAAGGAATTGCACTTGCTTAGAGAGTAGCTGTCAATTTGCTGTTGAACAGTCTTGGGTCTCATTTACATTTCTTTGGTAGAGCATTTGTGGGACCAGAATGAGTGTCAACCAGTGTGACAGTTTAAGTGTGATAAAGTTCACAATCTTTTTTTAAAGATTTTATTTATTTGAGAGGTAGAATACATATGGTAAGAGGGAGAGACAGAGAGAAAGGTCTTTCATCCTCTGGTTCACTCCCTAAATGGCTGCAGTGGCCAGAAGTGGGCTGAACCGAAGACAGGAGCCAGGAGCTTCTTCCACGTCTCCCATGTAGGTGCAGGGGCCCAAATGCTTGGGCCATCTTCTACTGCTTTCCTAGGCCATAGCAGAGAGAAGAGAGCTGGGATTAGAACTAGTGCCCATATTGGATGCTGGCACCACAGGCAGAGAATTACCCTGTGCCCCAGCACCAGCCCCAAGTTCCCACTCTGGAGGCAGCATCATCATGATGTGGCTTTTTTCATCTCTTGCATCTCTAAGCAGCATATTTTTGCATCAGCATGGCTTTCCACTTATCTTTTCATTGGCTTTCTAACATGTTACTAATTTATAATCCACATTTATCAAGTTATATGAATTGTGCTTATGTGTTAAGTCCCTTCTTATTCTTCTGATATACAAAACTTATCCTATGAGTTTTCACTATATCACAAATGCTAAACTCTCTACCACATTATTATGCATGTTTAATACTTCTTATGCATTCCATCATGCTCACTTTCTTATCTTCAGTAGCAGAATTGGATATTCTCAACAGTAGTGCAAGAACCCATTACAGAATGTCATTTGTGGATCCATCCAATATGATTAGTTTTATTATCACAGAACGTATTTTTTATTCCTGACATTTTTCATGACAAAAAAAGAGAATGCACATTTTAAAAGTAAGTAAAATACATTTTTCATGGTCCAGGTGAGAATTACTATTACCTTGGCCTGGACTGATAGTACAGGATTTGGAGAAATGAATGAAACAGATAGAAAACTAGGCATCTAACAATAAAGGGGGTGTTACCAGGCTAAAGAGATCAAGGATAACTTCAGGTTTCTGGTTCTTCACAAATATGACTCACTATTAAATTGTGAGAAGAATTTAAAAGAACTAGAGTGATATGATAGATGTGGGTTCAATGTAATTATTCTCCTAGGGAGATATCTAGTTTAGCCTTTAGTTAAATATTGGTGTGACACTTAGGAAACAAATTTAATGAGTATATACAGAGTCAAGAATGTATCATCATGTGTGCAGGATCATAAAAATGTTCATGGAAAATGCATATTATGAAAACGGATATGATTGGATTTTAGAAAATTCACATCAAAATAAACTTATCTATTTTACATTTTTAAAGAAATATATTTATTAATTGGGGAGAGGAGAGAGAGAGATCCTATCCACTGACTCACCCCCTAAGTGCCAAAAATGGTTTAGTCTAGGGTAGGCTAATGCTGGAAACTTGAGCCAGAATCTCAATCCAAGTGTCCCACATGAATAGCACGGAGCCAACTAACTAATTCATCTTTTGCATCATCCTAGGCTGCACCTAAGTAAGTAACTATAATCAGGATCAGAGCCAGGGCTTGAACCCAGGTACTCGGGTATAGGATGTAGGTGTATTAAACAATGTGTCAATGACTAGACTAAATTCCCACCCCAATAGTCATCTTTGAATCTAATTTTTCCACATACATTTTGATGCACTCTAACAGATAGCTATTAATTACCATGAAAATTGAACAATTTGATCTAGGAAGAGACTTGTTGAAGGGCTGAAATAAATTAATAAATCTATCTATCTGTGAATATAAATACATACATTACTACTGTGTACTATATGCAGGTAATTTTTCAGCCTTTTATTATATTAACTTAATTAAGTTGTAAGACAGTAATCCAAAATTTGTTGAACAAAGCTATGAGAATATGACTTTATTGAGAAAATCCACAGTATTTCTATGTGATATTTCAGAATTTCTTCTTTACATGAACTTGAGGGATTGGGATAGGAAATAGCATTAAGTTGATTTAAGAGTTGTAGAATTCTTTAAGAAAATTCACAATGATTTTAACAAAGTTTTCTGAGGCATAGCATTGTAAAGAAAACACCTTTACCTTTTGAAACATTTCTTCCAAATGGTAACACCAAGAATACTCTTTGAAGCAGAATGTAAGTTGGGAAATGAAGAGACACCCATGTGTGCCAGTTCTCCAAGAAATATTATCTGCAAATGAAATATATAAAAATATTGAAGAATGTGGCCTTTTTGTAAATGTGAGAAACTCCTCAAGCCACAGCTTTGAAACAATGTCTGACTTTGTGTCTCTTTGGAGGGGAGAGAGACACCAAAGCTGGGTCAAAATGAAACCTCAGGTTTCTTTAAAAGGCTCAGAGAAAGCCTTCATGGATACTCATCGTAAAACCTGGTGATTTTCTTAGGAAGCAATCCATGGTAATGACCTGTAGTATTGAAAATAGTGGAAAAAACAAAACACAAATCCTTCCAGTACTAGTTACCTAAAAGAGAAAAAGAACTGAGCTCTTGACATTCCTTGACTCTGGGCAATATCTTCATCCACTATACCTGTTTCATACTATAATTTTTGTATTTATTGTTATCCTGTACACATATTTTGAATGAATATCACTTTCTTGTTTCAATGTGATCCAATCTGTTCTATCACTGAAAACAAAAATATTAATCCTTTTATTACAATTTCAACCTTGCAGCTACCTTTCTAGATTTTCTTTCTTCTTACACTCATGTTTAAAAATTTATCTAGGTTTACTATCTCCATTTCCTCCTAATCTGCTCAATTATGTCTGACCTCTCCCTCCTATTTATGACTGTTCCCAGATTTTCCAAAATACTCTCACCAAGTAACCCATGTCCGCCAAGTAATAAAATGTAATGGTCATTTATCAGGCCTCACTTCACCTGGCATCTCATTCACATCAGACATTGTGTTCAGCTCGAGCATGTTTTTTGCTAGTAATTCTGTAAAACATACTCCCATTTTTCTTTCTAATACTTTGACCCTACTTAGTGAGTCAAATATGCCACCAGATTTATCTTTGCATCTCAGGTTTTGAACTCCAAAGTTCCTCCAGCGTCTGTTTTAGAACCTATTCTCATGCTGTTCCCTGTTCTTGGATGACTGTATCTACATCTAGGATATTAAATATCATGCTTAAGAGGAGTAGCTCTCCAAATTCTCTTAATAGTTATTTCCTTTGAAACACTGAATGGTGAAACCCTCTACATTTCATTTTGAAACATGTCAAAGGCATCCATAGCATTCTTTCAGGATTCCTGTTTAACTGGACAGTCCAGTTCTAAATTGGGTCATTTCTCATTGTTTTGGCCAACTTATTGTTTCATTAATAATGGTATAAACTGCATACAGTTTTTCTCTGGACCAGGTTTAAGAATAGTACTACCACGTTGCTTCCTTCTTCCATACCTGGAAATGTGAGCGCCGGACGCCTGCTGAATGGAAAACCATTCAGGACCTCTCCCTGGGGTCCAGCTGAAGCCTCACCGCCTTGGCAGGCTCTCATGATGAGGACCCTTAGTTGTTTCTGAGACTGTTGGAGTTACAGTTATTGAAAATATTGAAGTTGTTGTCATCACAAAGAATGTCTGGCTCTAGATCTCTGTGCTCCGTCCCACAGATTCCGTTCTCATTGCCATGGGACATGAACACCAGGAATGTGCTGTCTGAGGAATGGTGTTCTCCCCAGGCAGCAAACTCCATTAGTTCTGTTTTCTTCTCCTAAAGAGACTCCAGAGTCATGTTCAGAGAACTTTGCATATATAGATTGTACTCACATAATAGATTGAGTTCACAATTATGCACTAAGGAATTGGGAGATTTAGACTGAATAGAATTATGAGAGAAACACTGTTCTGACATAAAACCAGACAATTTAGGTGCACCAAGTACTAAAATTAGTATGGCTTATATAGAATCTAAGCCAGTGGTTTTTAATGCATTTCGGAAGATGCTGGGAGATGGATTATAATAAGATCCAGGTGAGATACTGAGGTCATTTCACCAATAAGATCATTTTCTTTAATCTGTGTTACAATGAAATTCCTTTAACTGCTCAGTTAAAAAGATCAGGAGACTTTTCTATGGACAAAATTTCACAGCACCCGGGTCAGCATTTGCAGCTTAGTGGGTTAAACCATCACTTGTGATGCCAGCATCCCATATAAGAAGCTAGTTCAGTGGGAGCTGGTGCTGTGGTTCAGTGGGCTAAAGCCCTGGCCTGCAGGGCTGGCATCCCATATGGGTATCGGTTTGAGTCCTGGGTGCTCCACTTCTGATCTAGCTTTCTGCTGTGTCCTGGGAAAGCAGTAGAAGATGGCCCAAGGACCCTGTACCAGCATGGGGGACCCGGAAGAAGCTCCTGGCTTTGGATCAGCTCAGCTGCTGTTGTGGTCATTTGGGGAGTGAACCAGAGGATGGAAGACCTTCCTCTCTCTCTGACTCTACTTCTCTCTGTAACTCTTTCAAATAAATAAAATAAATCTTTAAATAAAATAAATCTCTCTCTCTCTATATATATATATATATCTCCCCCTCTCTCCTTTTCTCCCTCCCTCCCCTCCCTGCCTCCCTCTCCCTCTTTTTCCCTCCTCCTCCCTCCCTCCTGCCTCTTTTTCTTCTACTTCTGTGTGTGTGTGGGTTTGTGTGTGTTTGTATGTGTGCGTGTATTTTTCCCTCTGTCTCTGTCTTACAAATAATTTAGTTAACCAAAGAATTAATTACAACAAGTTTCTTTACCATGGAGCGGCAGAAATTTAGGTTTAAACTGGTCTTTTTTATTTTTTAAAGATTTTTAAAATTTTATTTGAAAATCATAGTTACACAGAGAGAGAAGGAGAGGCAGAGAGATAGAGAGGTTGTCCATCCTCTGGTTCACTCCCCAGTTGGCAACAACAGCCAGAGCTGCACAATCTGAAGCCAGGAGCTTCTTCCGGGTTTTCCCATGTGGGTGCAGGGGCCCAAGGACTTGGGTCCTCTTCCACTGCTTTCCCAGGCCATAGCAGAGAGTTGGATCAGAAGTGGAGCAGCCAGGACTAGAACCGATGCCCATATGGGATGCTGGTACTACCGGCAGCGGCTTTACCCACTATGCCATAGCACCAGACCCTAAACTGGTCACCCTGGGTATTTTGGGCAGAATCACTTTTACTTGTGACTGTGTGTATTTTATTTTGCTATACAACTATCTTTACATTTAGAAACTAGATTTGGACATTACAAAGCCTTTGCAAATTCATTCTGTACTATCTTCCAATTTCAGAAACACAAGCTTTTGTCTCACTCAGACCATCAAATAAAAGGTGTCTCCCCAGTTCATAATTTCAGAAAGACCCAACAGTTTTAGTGAAATTCTGCTGTAGAGAACCTCTCTAAATCTTTGCTATGAGATCATGCATTAGAAAAAAAATGAAATCCAGGACATCCTATTCTGCAGCAAGAGAATTCCTGTGAAATAATACATCTAGTTCTTACTGCAGTCAAGGAAGAGATTGAACACAGTTTAAAAGGGAAGAAAGCTTGCCCCCTCTATTGAGGGCAGTACCTGAGAAGTGAGATTCTTTCATAATCACAGAATATCCAAGGTCTTCAAGTAGATCTTTCATGTTCAAAAGGTCAGTCTCGGAACCATCTCGATTAGGAAGATATCTAAATTCTTTGTTGCAGATGATGAAGGCCAGGTGTGTTCGACCTTCCTTCTCCGTCGCTAGATAGATCTTCAATCAACAGGCACAGCATTATTTATCCAAGGCCTCCTCCCTTACATCACCAAAGTTACAAACAAAAGATGTCAATGTACTTACAAAAGGGAGCCCAAAATGATAACACATGTGCACTGGGTTTAAGTATCCACACTGCAAACTCAGCTTGGGTTAGACAAGGAGAGGAGCTAAGAGTATGTTCCAGGATAGCATAGAAGAAACTGAAAATCTAAGTCAAGGACCCCTCAGACAGGCAACATCATATGCCCCTGATCTAAATATGCTTTTGACAAGAAATAAATGTACAGTATATCCCCAGTGTCTCGTTTGAATAGACAATATTGTGTCTGCTTATTCCCAAGCATGTCACCTCATCTAACCTTTCTTTCTTCAGTTTATGGAAATGATTTCGAGGGCAAAGCTTCAGTGGAACATTGGGTTGGGCACCCATGGTTTTCTGCGTAGCTAAAAGAGAGAGAGAAAAGAAGAAATCATCAAGCAGTAATATCCACTGTACTGCAGTAATGCAGACCAGTTAACTGTGCTCTCATTCTTTAAGCATTTATACTGCAATTCCACTGAACAGTATAACAAAACAACACATTCAGTTCATTTTTAAAGTGACTAAACCAAAGATTTTGAACACCTCTCCCTTTTTAAAATTCTGCTTATTACAGATCCCACCACAAATTTCTGTGCTTTTGTTAGTGGCTGTGACATTAACTAATCTTCTACACTTTGGAGTCACATTAAAAAAACCCAAAATTTGGAAGGAAGCCCAGTATGCATCCAGGCTAGTCAAGTCTCTATTTGGAGACTTTAAATCCATTTACAATATCTCAACTTTATTATCAGTATTCTGACAATTCCACTGACAGGGATAATACAGTTCTCTAAGGCTGTGTATCCTAAGACATGTGCTTTGTAAGCTTTAGCATGTATTTCTGACATTGGGACCATGCAGAAACATCTAACTGCTTTCCTGATGTAACTCCTTAAATTCTTCCATTACTTCTATGTTTCTTTCCCTGTGCTTCCATTCTTATATGAAAATGTTCTCAAACAATTATTGTACTGTATCTTGATTACCTTATTTTCCAAAATCTTACATGATCCATGGAGATATTTCTCATCTTTATATTCCCAATATCAAGAATAATATCTGGTAAGCTTGTAAGTTTATACTTGTTAATTAATGGACATTTTAAAGTCCGTGAGAATAGCTATGAGGTAACTCTGGTTCTGTGTTTTCCATTAGAGCAATACATTTTCAGTTCCTTGTATTTTTGCATAAGAATTGTTCCATCATTTTGAGCACTGAATACATCAATTCTACTTTCCCTCTGACTATGAAAAGAATGTGTCCTAGCTGAGGGCAGTACCTCTACTTACGTTATGAAGTTCGTCCTCTCTCACCGTAAGGATTTTACTCAGATGTTTATTCGGTCCCATGTTCAACATCATCAGATTTTCTCTTTCTCCTTAGTATGTTATTCCAATTGGCATGCCTTAATATTAATCATTTAAAGCAAGACTTGTCCTGGCTTTGTTTCCTCTCAGCTGTTGTCCTTATTCACCTCTGAATAAAATTTAATGAACTCATAGTTTATTTTCACTATTTCCTTTTTTTATGCCACTTAGTTTTTCCTTATATGCAATCTGACTTGCTATTCTCATCTCCTAAATGGAATACTTATCATCATGCTACCATTGACCATTTGTTGGTTTCTGAGATTACACATGGTTGAACACATTGTTTTTCTTGACAACTGTTCTCTATGATTCTATGGTGCTAACTTTCCCAGCCATTTTCCCCTAAGACAGCTATCTTCATTATTGTCTCTTCCTTTTCTGCCATCATTCTAAGAGTTGGCTTATTCTATATGGGCACCTATGCAAAACACTTTCTATTGGTGGCATCTTCCAGTTTATTCTTTTAAAATACCATATTCTGGTTGATGAACCCCAAAATTTATTCTCAACCCTGATTTCTCTGTGAACTGCTCAGTTGAACATTTGCTTTCCTATTCAACACCTGCTCTTGGAAATACCATCTAATTACATGCAAAAAATGACACTTAATATGTGTCTACTTCTGCAAATCTCTCTCTTCTTCATATAAGTTTCCACTGACGCAGTAAATGGCACATACACCCAGTTACCAATCCAAAAACTTACACTCCTAATTTATTCTTTCCTCTTTCTTAATCTATATTCAGTTCATTAATAAAATTCTGTTGATCCTACCTCAAAACTAGATCACAAATTTAACCACATGCCATCATCTTTATGACTATACCCACCATCTGTAAGTTACTATCTCACTTGAAATATGGAAACAACTCTTAATTAACCTTTGTAAATCCTATGCTTACCCTATCACTATTCTTCTTTTTAAATTTCTAAGATAGTAGTAAATAAAAGGAGAATTCATTATTTATAAAATTTCCTTTGTAAAATCATGTTATATCGTTGGAGTTGCAATTCTCTTGGATCTATTAATCTGTTATATTTTCAATAGTGGAAGTTAAATAAAGGGGAGAATTCAGAGTATCTTGAGAAGAAAGTAAACCCGAGGAAAAGAAAAAAAGAAGAGGAGAAAATATAAGTGGTTAAAATAAAGATAGAAGAGGAATAGATTATCAATGGGAAGGAATAGAATAGACTGTAAGAAAGAGGTATGGGGCCAGTGCTGTGGCATAGCAGGTAAAGCCACCACCTGCTCCACTTCTGATCCAGCTCTCTGCTATGACCTGGGAAAGCAGTGGAAGATTGCCCAAGTACTTGGGCCCCTGCGTTGGCATGGGAGACTAGTTAAGAAGCTCCTGGCTCCTGGTTTCAGATTGCCACAGCTTCAACCATTGCAGTCATCGGGAATGAACCAGTGGATGAAGACTACTCTCGCTCGCTCTCTGCCTCTGCTTATCTGTAATATGCCTTTCAAATAAATAAATAAATCTTTAAGAAAAAAAGAAAGAGGTATAAAGGGGAACTGAGAATGAAGTGGAAAAGGGAAAGTGAGAGACTAAAAGTTCTCTTCAGGCTTTAGCACTTCATTTATAACTTTTTTTTTTTTTTTTGACAGAACAGACAGTGAGAGAGACAGAGAGAAAGGTCTTCCTTTTGCTATTGGTTCACCCTCCAATGGCTACCGTGTCCAGTGCACTGCAGCCGGCGCACCATGCTGATCCGAAGGCAGGAGCCAGGTGCTTATCCTGGTCTCCCATGTGGGTGCAGGGCCCAAGCACTTGGGCCATCCTCCACTGCACTCCCCGGCCACAGCAGAGAGCTGGCCTGGAAGAGGGGCAACCGGGACTCCACCTTTCTGCTAATGCAAACACCAGGAGGCAGCAGATGGTGGTTCAAGTGCTTAAATCCCTACCACCCATGTAGATGACCTAGATTGAGTTCCAGGTGCATGGTTTTGGTCCTGGCTTTTGCAGGTATTTGCAGAATGAACTAACCAATGAAAGACAATTTCTCTCTCTCTCTTTCTCTCTCAGATGTAAGATAGCTCCCTCCCCCCGTGTGTGTGTGTCTGTATCACTTTGCCTTTCATAAAAAAATACATAAAAATTTTTAAAGAATACTTATACTTGCTTTAGACATATGTTTTAGCAATGGATGTTAACAATAATAGATGACTCTGCCAAGCAGAGGCTGTACAATCATAATATTACAAATAAGCAACTTTTATGGAGTAAGATTATTATTAAAGAAAAAAAGATGCAGAGGTATAAATGTGATTGGGATATATCAGGGCATTTGTATTATTAAGTAATACAGATAACCATGTGGAGAGGGTTCTAGAGATAGGATAGTTTATTCTCCACTTGAAATGGAAGAAATAAAGAAACTGCACAAGGTCAGTAGAGGATTACTCACTTAAACTCAGCTGGGTCATAGCCTCGAAGATGTTTTTGCCTACCACTTGTGTTGCATTAGTGGTATCAACCTGGTTTTCAGTGTTGTTCACAGGGGAATTCGCTTCTTTCTCTGTTCTGTATAATCCATTTCCACTTACACATTCCTCATCCAAAATGGCACTAACTGGGTTCCAGGCAATCATTTTCCACATGTTAACTGCATCTTCTTCAGGTGGTCTCTTAGCTGTCAAAAACTATGGGATCTTAGATATAGACAAAAATTTAGGTATCAAATTCAAGGCCCTAATTTTACTTTGCAGAAGAATCACCTGGAAAACTTCTACATATCCATTCCCAGAAATTCTGATTTCATAGGTCAGTGTGGGACCCATAAGCTTTGATTTCTAACAGTCCTCAGGTGGTGCCAGAGCTGCAATTTCAGGAATTACACTTGAGTGACATCTATGGTGTTCAATTCTCTCCGCATTTTACAAAGGAAATGGAGATTCAGAAAAGTAAAGCAACTGTATTAAGGTACTTAATGTGATAGCTGACACAGTTTAGTCTTTGTATCATCTGTGAGCCCTTCACATCTTGTACATTTTATCAAGAATTGATTTAAAGAGACATTATATTCACTATCTGTAGCACTAAAACACAACCATATCATAATGCATTTTTAAAAATTATTGTTTATTTTTATTATTTATTTGAGAGGCAGACACGTAGAGGAGAGGAAGAGAAACTGATCCTATCATCTGGTCCATGTCCCAAACCCCTCCCCAAATGCCCTCAATGGTCAGAGTTGAGCCAAACTGAAGCCAGGAGTCAGAAACTCAATTCAGGTCTTCTATGTGGGTGGCAGGGACCCCCAAACATGAGCTGTCACCGTCTGCCTCCCAGGACTGCTTTAGTGGAAGCTGGAGCCTGGTCTCAAACCCAGGTACTCAGATATAAAATGTAGATGCTTCTGCTAATGTCCTTCTTTATTTTTTAAAGATTTTATTTATTTACTTGAAAGTCAGAGTTACACAGAGAGAGAAGCAAAGGCAGAGAGAGAGGTCTTCCATCCGCTGGTTCACTCCCCAACTGGCCGCAATGGCCGGAGCTGTGCCAATTTGAAACCAGGAGCCAGGAGCTTCCTCTGGGTCTCTCTTGCAGGTGCAGGGGCCCAAGGACTTGGTCCATCCTTCACTGACTTCCCAGGCCACAGCAGAGAGTGGGTCGGAGAGGAGGAGCCGGGACTCGAACCTGCCCATATGGAATGACGGCCCCACCCGCCACACCACAGCGCTGGCCCCTCTGCTAATGTCTTAAAAGCAAGGCCAACAGGTGCCTCCAGTAATAGGCTTTTGTTTCTGTTTTCAAGGCCTGTAAGATGGCTTTCTATGCAGAGTTTGAAAGCACAAACTGGATCTTATTGATTTGCTTTTATAGACAAAAGATCATACAGACAGAAGAAGGAAGGAGGAAATATAAGTTACTCTGTTCAAAAGTTACTCTGTATAAAATCTCAGCCTGACAAGAGAACACTTAGAAAATACATATGTATTTTCTATATGAGCCAAAAGAAAAGTCTAAAATTTCAGGAAAAGTTTAAGGAATTAGGTTCAAATTTTGAAATATTTTCTTTTGTTTCAAGAAGCCGAAACATATTAAGAGACTTATTCTGTTAGCATATTCATTGCTATGCTCCAATCTCCCAGATCCTCTTTTATCCTTAGAACTGCACAACAATATCTACTGCTTTTTGGTAAACAGAATTGACAAATCAGAAGATCAGGAGAGAAAAGAAGAGATTATTTATATGTGGTTTAGATAAATGGAGGAGTGAAGTATACTATTATGTGCTGGTCCACTCCTCAAATGCCTGGGCAAAAGCTAGGAGATATGAACTCAATCCTTGTCTCCTGTATGGGTTTAGAACCCAGACTGTACAAAACCTGTGCACTTCTGCCTTTTTGATACCTCAGCCTCTATTATATTACTGGAAATGAGAACTATCACATGAAGGAGACTCAATTGTCTCATCCAAGGTCACCCCTGTTTTTTGTTTAAACTTCACAATGTATGGCAAGTATTTTATTTTGAAAGGTCATCACATAAGGACTATTTGATGTTTTGGATGGCTGCAGGGTATTTCAGGTGTTGATAGATAATAACTTTAAATGTTTTCTCAAACTCATGCATCCACAAAACAACTAAACCAGTCATACACAAAAGCAGTGCTGTGACATAGTAGGTAAAGCCGCTGCCTTCAATGCTGGCATCCCATATAGACATTGGTAACTGTCTTAGCTATTCCACTTCTGATCCAGCTCCCTGCTAATGGCTTGGGAAAGCAATGGAAGATGTCTCAAGTGGAAGACCATGAAGAAGTTCTTGGCTACTGGCTTCAGCCTGGCCTAGCTCTGGCTGTTGAGGCCATTTGGAGAGTGATGGAAGATCTCCTCCACCCTTGCTTCCTCCCTCCCTCCCCCTCTCCCTGGCTCACCCTCTTTCCCTGTAACCCTGACTTTCAAAACAAATAAATGAATATTTTATAGAAGTATTTTCTAGTACCACACACCCTACTCTCAGTTCAACATCCTAGATGCAATTTCCCTAGATAATTTCTGTTTCTGCTTTTTCATTGTAATCTTTGAAACTCTCAACAGTGCTTTTTTTTTTTTCTATTACCTGGTATATGAGTAGAAAACATATAATGTCATTGACTATCTCATAAGAAAATGAAATGTAGGTCACTTATACTGCCTCATTTCTATCCTGTTCCACCCAGTATTTGATGAAAACATAATTTTTAATTATTTTGTTCATTAACTTTTAAACGTTAAATAATATAAGTTTCATCAAAATTTTTTGGTAAAAAGTAAAGATTTATTTTGATACTGAATAACTTTGGAACCATGAAGTACACGTGTAGTTTTTTCATAATACTCATTTGCCATGAAGTTTCTGAAAACGCATGATATGCATTGATTTCAAAATAGTTTGCACCAAAATAAATTCATCTTTTAGTTCTGTTTTCCACAAAGTATTCTTGTATATTTAACTCTCATTTTTTCACCCATGGTTGTGGCTCTGTAGCTTAATTCTCCTTGTATAAGTTGATAATAGTTGTCCTCATACAATTTTTCCATCATTTCTCACCTCAAATCATCCCAGGATTTTTAAAGTATTGTTGATATATATACATACACATACATATACAAATATATATGTAATGAAAAATTTACCAACATAAATGTTTCAGTTGTCCCATTCAGTGATACTTAAATATACTCACGACCCGGACGCGCGGTCTGGCAGGGTGGTCTGGGCTGGGGCAGGTTCCCCCTGACGCCAGTGTGCTGAGGACCTTGCGGGCTGGTACACCCAAGTCCTGCGGACCCGGGGGCCACTCCCTTGCTAGGCATCTGAGAGGGAACTTGGCTCCCGTTCAGGAAGCCCAGGGGAGGGACCTCGGCGGAGGGAGGGGCCTTAGGAGGGGCTCCGCGGGGGACCCCTCGGCGCCTCCGGGGAAAGCCCAGATCCGGCCTTCCTGCCCCGCAGTGATGAAGGCGCCTGCGCTGGGCGCCAGCACGGACAGGCCCTGCACCCCCTCCTTTGTTCTTTGTTGGGCTGTGGGCCCAGGCCTGGCCGCCTGCCCTTACCCTGCCGGTCCAGTTTTATCCCGGGAACCACCGCCCCACCCCGCACCCGCCCATTCCATTCTCCGCATAGAGGGCGTGTTGGGTGACCCCTCCCTGCCTAGACCCTGCCAGACACATCTCCCTTGGCTGCTCTAGACACACACCTGTCGCCACTGACACCAACCACAGGTGCAGCTCAGTCCAGGAGCACCTCTCCAGAGCTCGAGCTGCGTGGGCGGCTCCCCAGACCCCTTCCTCGCCACCCCTACCTGCTCTTGCTGAAGCAGAGGCACCTTTCACAGAGGTAATCTGACCAGTTCCTAGGCCATCCCTGGGCGGGTATTGCCAGGACCCAGGGCCCACAGTGGTAGTGACCAAACCAGAGGCTGGCCTAGCACTGGCTCCTGACCCTGGAAGACACCTGGGCCAGGAGCCAAGCTGGGCACAGGTGAAGATCCCTGCAGACCACTCCCGCGGCCCCTCCTCAGGAACCTCAGTTTGCCGTGGGTCCGAGAGGTAGGGCAAAAATTAAAAAACAAAAACAAAAAAAACTCATGACAATTTGCAGTGATAACCACCACTCATTTCCAGATATTTTTCCAATCTTTTAAAACTGAAACCATATACCCATTAAACATATAACTCCATGCCATACTTTGGACATGGTTTCAGTGAGTTCTATGAAGATTCATGTGTTGGAAACTTGGTCCCCATTGTGGAAATGAAGTAATGGAATCTTTAATGAGGTGGCCCTAGCGTATCGTGATTATGTCATGGTAGTGCTGCCTTTGGTCTCCTATGGTGAGTTAGTTCTCACAAGAGCAGGTGGTTAGAAACAGGCTACAATACCACATGTGCTTGGCCATAACTACATGCGGATAGTTCCCTTTCTGTTTCTCTGCCGTTTTGTTATGCAGCCAGAGAAAACAAACTAGGATGCCATTGAACCATTCAGCCACCAGAATCATGAGCCATATAAACTATGCACTTTATACAGTACCCAGCCTCAGTTACTTTAACAATGATAAACAACCCCTCCTCCTTCCAGCCTGTGAAAACCACAGTCTATTCTCTGTCTATGAATCTGACTACTCTAGATATCTAAAATAAGTAGAATCCTATAGTTAGCATATTGCCCTGAAGAATCAGTCATATTGTGGCATATTCCAGAATTTCTTTCATTTTCAAGACTGAATAATATTTTGTTTTATGTATTTTATGCATTTTGCTTATTTATTTGTCATTCAGTAAACACTTGAGTGCTTCCATATTTTAGCTATTATGAATAATACTGCAATGAACATGAGTATAAAAATATCTCCTTTAGAGTCAGCTTTAAATTTCGTTGTGTATATGCCAAAAACTAAAAATTGCTGGATCATATGATAATTATATCTGTTTATCTGTCTATCTTTTTAATCTACATTAAATGCTTTATACCATTTTCCACAGTGATTGGACCATTTTACAATTCCTATCAATGCTACATAAAGGTGTCTTTCTTTTTTTTTTTTTTTTTTTAGGATTTATTTATTTATTTGAAAGTCAGAGTTACACAGAGAGACGAGAGGCAGAGAGAGAGAAATAGGTCTTCCATCAGATGGTTCACTCCCCAACTGGCCACAATGGCCAGAGCTGCGCCAATCCAAAGCCAGGAGCCAGGAGCCTTTTCCAGGTCTCCCAGCCGGGTGCAAGGGCCCAAGAACTTGGGCCATCCTCCATTGCTTTCCCAGGCCATAGCAGAGAGCTGGATTGGAAGTGGAGCAGCTGGGTCTCGAACCAGCACCCATATGGGATGCTGGCGCCTCAGGCCAGGACATTAACCTGCTGTGCTACAGCATGAACCAAAGTTTCAATTAAACCATTTCCTTACCAACACTAATGATGTTGTTTTTGGTGTTTTTGTATTTTTTTATAGTTATCCTAATGGATATGAAGTAGTATCTCACTGTATTTGTAGGTATCATTTCCATTCACTCCCACCATGTTAACTGAAATTCTTTTCCTTATTAGAATAAAAAAAGACAGTTAATTTGTTTTTATTTTTATTGAAATGCAAAAGGTTAAATACATGTGTATGTGCTGTACTGATAACGGTGCACTTTGAAGTTGATAAAAGAGGACTTGTCTGCCTATGGCTTCCTGTAGAAGAGAGAGGATAAAGTCAAGGTGTTGATCCCAAATTGTCTTCATCTCATGCTCCATCAGGATTCTCATCCAGCCTCTCTATGATCTATTGTCACTCCCCTTGACTTCCATCTGTGTTCTTTTGCAATCTGTTTACCAAATAGTGGTCTCTGAATGCCCTAATATAGATTATGTCATTTTTCTGTTCAAAAGAATATCAAGGATTTCTTCATTCTGGATAAAAATTTTATAAAATTTACCATAGCCCATGTGACCATTTGTCTTTAATTTGTCTTTAATTTTCCCCACCTGCAATTTCAACCAGTGTCATTGTATCCTTGCACGTTCCATTCCACAATTAGTAATTGTTGTTCCCTCTGCATAAGAACCACAAAGTTCATTCCTCCACTCTGTCCATTCTTTGTTCTGATTTTATCATCTCAAAGACGCCTTTCTTGAATGATCTGTTTATACCAGTGAAACATCCATCATTTTTTCTGCCCTTCTCTATTTTTTCTCAATTCTCATCATTCTCTGACCTATGATGTATTTACCCTTTGACATAATCAGATTATGCCTCTATTCACTAGAATATAAACTTTCTGAGGGTAAGGATTCCATTTACTTAGTTCACAAAACCTGGCTAAATGTTGATAAGCATTATTGAAGTAAATGATACAACACCCAAATGTGGTCATATTGGCTGACTTAGACACTGAAAGCTGCCCTGCTGATGTATCTCTGAAATTTTACTGCTGGAATGTCAGATACCAGGGACAAAAGACAAAATGAGCAAATATTTGTAGTGTTGAGATATGTTTTATGTAAAATATAATTTTACATATGTTTTTGAGAGGGAGATTAATGGCACTTTTACAACAGGGTATGATATAAAGTGTCATGAATGGGTAAAATAATTCCTGGATCTAAATTTGATGCACTCATTCTAAATCATCTATAACAAAAAGATAAAGGATTTAGATAGGAGTTTGAAGGAGTTTCTGAGTAGTGTGTGTTGAAGATCTGAAAGCAGATTCTGAGTGGCCTGTGTTCTACACTATGAGAATAGTATGAGAATTAGAGGCTTGTAACAGAATTTACGGGCCAGTCTGTTTTACAATGTCTGGCAGTAGTAGTTCAGTGTCAGAGACATGATATATGCAGCCAGAGGGCCAAAGCCTAGGACTTCTTGTTTTTTTGTTTCAAAGTCTGATATAATGTTTCATAGCACTGTGTGTGTGTGTGAGAGAGAGAGAGACAGACAGAGACAGAAAGTAAAAATGTACATGAGTATATTTCTATCATACTGTTTGCTACACTAGATCTTTCATTGTTTATCACTCCTTGTTTTGGTTTTGCTCACCTCCTTGATTGACTAGTAGGTTGGTTCTGAGATAGAGGAATTCAAATACATGAATGTAGAACAAAAAATAGAAGTTAAAACCAATTTGCATCAACAAAGATTACTATCTTAATCATCTAAGCTCTCAGCTGCCACTGATCATGGGTCCTCCTCATCAAAATTATTTCTCCATTTATTTAACCCACAACCACCAACTCCTGATACTTACTATATTCAGTTACCAGGAAAGAGAAAGAAGTATCTTGTCATAGACAGTCGCTCGATGGTGGGCATCTGGGCTTTCACACTTGGTTTTTCAAATGATTGTTGGACCTTAAAGCCATAAAGAAACTCTAGATGGGATACACCTTATGAGTGCTCAGAAACACTACCAAAGCAGAGTATTCCAGGAATATGCATGCCAAACAGAATATTCCAGGAATGAAGGGTGCTTCTGGAGTTGATGAGAACAAGCCCATGGATATTCCAACCTCTTGCCACTTTTACCATGTATATTAGAAATGGTGACCCGAAAAAAACTATGCTATTTACTTCAAAGCACACATTATATGCACAATCCGAGACACTTCAACCACAATTTCCTCTGTTTTCCTTGGGATCTCTTCTGAAGAACTGGGTCTAGAAGGTTCCCTACTTTCAATCCCCACCAAGGCTGATTCTTGTATTCAAGGAAAGTCAGCAGGATTTTGTTTTTAAGAACTTGAGCACTGAACAACTTTCAGCACAAAGATGGCCTCTTTTACCATGTGTTGATCAATAATATCCTACTTACCCTGTTTGCTATGATTTCTCATCTTTTCCTAGGAATCTGTTTGAAAGCATAATGTCTTATTTCTGTTCACCCAATTAGGTGTCCCTGTTCTCAGAAAGCCTGACCCTGAATTGCAGTGTAATCTGCCCAGCCTGCCTAAGTTATGTCTCTATCCCTCTTTTCCCACAGCAGCATTAATTTTCTATATAGTTTGAATTTTATATAACCATAATTTTCTGTTATTAATTTCAATAGTCTTATCTCTTAAAAAGGAGGAACATGTATTTCTTTATTCATTCATCTTGTTCAATGAATATTGATTATCTGTTATATGCCAGGCATATTTGAGGTGTGGAGCAAATCCCTTCCTGCATGAAGCTTGCATTTTAGTAAGTAAAGCCAGGTAAAAAGCAAACACACACATAAAACATAAACTAGATGGGTGGTGATAAGAGATTTAGGGAGAACTGAATTAGGAAGACAAGGCAGTAAGGAATGCCTTTAATTTGGAAAGGTGCTCAGGTATTCCATCCTGGACTACCCATTTAAAGAATTTTTTCTCCATTATTTTCTTTCTCATGTCTACGTTTTTTTATTTGTGGTTCCGATCACCATCAGTAGTCACACATTTGTTGGTCTACCAGATAGACCACTTTAAAAATTTACTGATTAAATTAATTAGTGCAAAAATTAATTTAATATATTTTATAGTCTCTGAAACTTTGGACCTTATAGCCCATAGCATGCAGGCTTATAATTTATATCATTTTGTTCTATGCTCATCTCCCACTGTGGGATATTGACAACTTTTTCTAAACTAGATTTGAGTCACCTGAATGACAGAAATCAGGTAACATCTTACTTTTGCTTACCTGACAGAATTTGTCATTATCACATGAAATGTGAGTAATAATAAAATGTTGAGCAAGGAAGTGAGTGATTACAAAGGTATAGAGAATCTTACCTTCCGAAATACTTCCTCTAGATGACAGCACCAGGAATACTTTTGGAAGCAGGAGATGAGTTGTGTGATGAACAGAGAGCCCTTTGTGATGTCTCTCCAGGACAGATTATCTGTGAAGACAGAGAATGGTCTGCCTTGGGTCTGTGTCCTTCTCAATTATTTTATGTTTATGTTTTTGTTGGTCTGTGTTTGTGTTTGGGATGGGGGTTGCTTTTCTAAAATGTGTCACTTAGGAATTACCTTAACAGGATTAGAGAAAGTACTCATAAACCTATGTAAAACTCTGTTTCCACAGAGAAAAAATAAAAATTCTAGCTGAGGTTGAACTAAAGGGTCAGTTTGTCAGAACTGCAAAAGTTTGTACAGTGGTGGCAATGTTATTCTTGGGGCTGATGCTCTGCAGTGTGCCTTAAATTCATTCACTTGATTTCCAAAGAGGCTTGAGACGTAACTGGAAACATGTCATTTAACAGAGCATGAAAGAACATCCTCAAACTTCACAGTGAGTGAACGGGAAAAAAATGGCCATCTGGTTTCAAGTTTGATTATAGATTACATCCTAATGTCTTTCACAATACAATAAATAAAAAGCAAAGAAATTCAGAGTTTCAGTTACAAAAGATAAATCATAAAGATTTGCTATACAGTACAATGTCTGTAGTTAACAGTATTGTACTATATATTTTAAAATGTGCTGAAGGATGGTTCCTTCTTCAATAAAATTTTATTTTATTTTATTTGAAAGATAGGTAAAAGAGACAGAAGGGATTTTCTGTCTGGAAGTTTACTCTCCAAAGGACCACAACAGCCAGATTTAGGCCAGGACAAAGTCAGGGGTCTGGAACTCTACCAAGTTCTCCCACATAGGTGGCACTGAGCTAAGAACTTAGACTATCACCTGCTGCTTCCCAGGGTGTGCATTAGCAGGAAGCTGCAACCAAAAATGGAGGTGAGATCTGGACCCACACTCAGATATAGGATGTGGGCAACCCAGGTGGTGTCGTAACTACTATATTCCATATACACCATGCAATGTGTCCTTATCACACACACAAATTAATAATTACAGTGATGATGATGAAGAGTAGGGAGGGAGGGATGTAGAGATGGAAGGAGTGAGGAAGAAAGGAAGGAAGGAAGGACAGAAGTTCAGAAGGAAGGAAGGAAAGAAGGAGAGAGAGAGGGAGAGAAGGAAAAACAGAGAGAAATCCTTTGAGGAATAGATATATGTTTACAGCACAGGTGGTGGTGTTGGTTTCATATTTATCTCTGAATTCATTAAATTGTATGCTTCATGTTTGTACAAATTTTTAAATGCCAATTTACACATCAATAAAGTGGTTCAAAAAATGACAAAATTTGCAAATTAGAAGCAGTCAAATGTAAGGCTCCTTAAAAATACCAAAATATTGAACAATAAAATACAACCCTTGTAATTGAAGTATTATTTTTAAAGAGTGTGTTTGTGTTTGTGTGTGTGCATGTGTATGTGTATATATAGAGAGAGACTCTGTCCTCACAGTATAGATACGATAATGCAAATATTTGTAAGTTGACAACACTCAAAATTATCTCAGTCCATGATTGCATTTGGCCTATCTTGATTTTCTAGAATCATTCAAAGGTGACATGAGGGCAACATATCCCTGTCTTTAACTAAAAGATACATACGTGGTGTTGAAGAGCAGAAAGCAATGAAATCCTTCTCCACATGGGTCTTGTAAATGCCATCATCCTGCAGATTCTCAGGCAACTGTGAAGAGCTGTTTGCCAAGGCCATTGGAGAGTCACTAAACCACACTTCTCCATGATTTGCTGTAGAGAGATTCACCTTTTAAACATCAAGGAGCCTCTCTCAATATGACTATCAATTGCTCACCTCCTTCTTTTTGAATGTTTATTCTACTTTCATACCTATGTTGTTTTGTCTTCTCTCTAGTGTCATTGACCAATGTTAAAATTAATAGTGAGAACATCATGTAAAGAAATAGTAATTTTGCCATAATACTGGCAGAACCCATATGCTAAAAAAGCAAAAGAGTTAAAACCATATTTGTATAATTTCACAGCAGAGTTACCATTTCTTAGCTAAATTATTTCTGTTTTTTTTTTTTTTTCTAAACCGAAGCTCCCAATTGCCACACAGCAATTGGAAATCAGGAAAAAAAATAGACAAACAAAAAACACATTTTTACTGCATTATCCCAAATCCCTTCATGTCCCTGTTTGTTTTTCCTTCAATGATGTAGGCGACAAAAAGAATATTATTACAGTGTTCAAATAAAATTCCTCTCAAGAAAGTTAATATGAAGATGACTGTAAAACTTTTAAAAGTTAAAGTCTCATTAAAATAATTTCAATGTTTGAATATTTCTCTTTAACCTTGATTTAGAATTCTGGTAATCATCTCCACTGTTGCCATGGGTCAAGTTGTATAGAAATTTCTCAGTTCACCAGATTCCCAATCTGCAAGCCTCTTAGATTCTGTTTCCTTTGGAATTCTGTTTTGTTTATTTTTTATTTTATTTTACTTTTTTTTATTTGACAGAGTTAGATAGTGAGAGAGAGAGAGAGAAAGAGAGAGAGAGAAAGGTCTTCTTTCTGTTGGTTCCCCTCCCAAATGGCTGCTACAGCTGGAGCTACTCGGTTCCGAAGCCAGGAGCCAGGTGTTTCCTCCTGGTCTCCCATGCGGGCGCAGGGGCCCAAACACTTGGGCCATCCTCTACTGCCTTCCGGGGCCACAGCAGAGAGCTGAACTGGAAGAGGAGCAACGGGGACTAGAACCGGCGCCCATATGGGATGCTGGTGCCGCAAGGCAGAGGATTAACCAAGTGAGCCACGGCGCCGGCTCCCTGTTTTGTTTATTTTCTGTGGATGGGGTTAAGAGTTCTTCCTGTAGATACAAATCATACATCTCAATCCTCTGCATAATCTACGCTTATTCGCCTTAAGGACTCACCACCCCTGCAGGCCTGTACAATGATGACCTTGGGTTTGTCCCTCAGACTGATGCAGTTGCGGTTGTTGAGTGTCCGGAATACAGTGTCATAAGGTAGCACATCTTGTGTTTTGTCACTATGCATAATGCCACAGATTCCATCCAGGATGCCATGAGACATGAGCACCACAAATGTGCTATCTGAAGAATTGTGCTCTGGCCGAGCAGCGAACTCCTGCAGCACTGACTCCATAGCCTGAAAAAGATCAATGCTGCCTTACTTCAGTAGGACAAGCATTAAAATTAATCCAACCTCCTCTGTTTATGATGAGCAATGCAGGCAACACATGTTACGCTCTGATCATGCACGTTCTGCTCTTCTGCCTGTGCCTCCCATGTGTCAGTTCCATTTTCAGTGTAGTGTAGTCTTTTCACTTGCAATTCCCTCTATTTGGAGGGCGCTTCACAGTCATCTTCCCAGAGCCATCTTGTTTGTAGTAGTAATGTCTCCGCTCCTGTCATCTCACAGAAGCTTTTCTGGACCACACCTTCAAATGTTGCTCTCCACCCACCAATTCTCTGTCCCCCCCCCCTTTTTTTTTTCCTTTTACTCTGATGTAGGTAGATGCACACAAATCTGAAATTAGCTGTTTATAGTTTGACTCTTCCTTTTCAGTCTAGCCAGTTCAGTGCAAGCTGGGTACTTCTTGCCTCCCTTATAGAACTATTCCTCAGTGCTAAGAGGAACCCCAGACATGAATTCAGGACCCACTATTTTTTATGGGTGAATACCTGTTTAACATTCATTAGTCTTGAATTTTCTGGGTGACTTTAGGGCTGAATTCCAATCACTCCATTTTAGAACTAAGAGTGGTGTGGATACACATGCCAATCACATTTTGTCCAGTTTCACAGAATTAGGATGTTTACAGTATAAAGAAACATTAGTTTTATCTATATAATAACTTTATTTTGCAAATACACAGCACATATAATCTGAGATTGTTAAAACTTTTGTCTAACATTATAAACCTAACTTGTTAGTAGAAGGATGTATGTTGAATATGCATGATTTTTGTGTGTTTGAGGGGATCATACCTTGGCTGTGAGTTTCACTTTCACAACCACACTGTAACCCAGGTCCTCAAGCAGCCTCTTCATCCCTGAGATGTCAAACTGAGCCCCATTCCTCAGAGGAAGATGCTGAAACTCTATGTTGCATATGATGAGAGCCAGGCGAGTGCGATCCTTTTTGTCCTTTATTGGGTAGATCTGTAGGAAATGCATATATTGTTGGTAAAATGGCACAGTCTCATCTACAGTGTGATCTGCACCCCAGGCACCATCCTAGTCTCTAGCCCCCCCCACCACCTTGGTTGGAAGCCAAATGACCCCATGGTCCAACCACCAGTGTCAGCTCCACCCCCATGCTAATGAGATTCGTTATTCCTACTTCCCTACCCACCCTCAGTAAAATTTTAAGAGGACCAGTTCCTGAATACAGGACTCTCTCTCTGTCTCTCGATCTCTCTGTCTCTCTCTTGATCTCTTTCTTATGCTCTCCTTCTTCCTCTTTTTCTTCTTCGCCCCTTCCTTCCTGTCTGTTGGGTTTCCCCCAATAAACCCTTTCCCTTACTCCAGTGTTCAGTGTGTTTGGTGGCAGCCTTACATATGTAGTGAAGTTGGTTTATGTGAGTCAGTTTAAAATCCCATGCATTCATCAGCATCACTGTGTTAACAACCATGTATAGCAGTCCTCTCCCTTAACTTCTCCTAGAAGACAATATCTTGCTCTCTTTTGAAACCCAGAACAAGAATTGGACATATCTGAAATGTTTACTCAAGAACCTTGTAAAAACAAGAATAATTCCTAACCTCTTCTTCCCTTTCTTCTCCACCTTGTGAAATGTACCATAGCAGCCAAATTCAGATCAGATTTGTCACTGGATGCAGTAAAAATGAAAGCAACCCTTGCTTTATATAGCTTTGTATTTGAGCACTATTTTAATGCATCAACTTACAGTGCTTTATAAGATTTAATTATATTTTTAAAATGTGCTTAATGTTGAGAACTTTCAACTGGAATCAATTACTATGCATATGTATAATCATAAATAATTTGAATCTTTGCCTACAGCCAAGCTTGTCATAAATCTCAAATAGACAGGAAAATGAATTAATAAATTAATAGAAGATCTGCATTTGACCATAGGATTGGAGTTAGAATCTCCATTAAGCCATATGATTTCCTTCTATGACAATGATTACCACCATCCGCCTGACCATTACTTAGTGCTTTAAGACATTGTATACTTAGCAAAAGCAATTATTTCTCTCCTTTCTCTATTTCATGCATAGAGCACAGCACCTCTCCAGCTCTTTCTTTACAGAGTCTCAGGAATTTTTCAGATGGACAAAGCTTGAGAACATCTGTAGATTCTGCTGAATCCTCTGGTCCAGCCTTGATTTCTGGAAGAGTTACAAGATATAACACAAAATATAAATTGTATTTATCACCTAGGACTATTAAGAGGGAGAAAATTAATGGAAAAAGAGTTTTATTTTAACATAAAGTGCTCATATTTGTATCTAACTTCTACTATAAGCAGACATATTGTGACTGGGAGAAAAAAAAAGTCTTTGTTAGAGAAAGCAGATCCACCCAAAAGTACAAGGATCGATTTTGACAATTATGAAGAAAATATCTTGATGGTTTGGGTCAAATTTGCCTTTTTCATATTCAGCAAAAATAGTTTAATTCTTTCCATTGATATTACACTAGGATTTTCATTGCTCTATAATGACTTTGGCTTTCTGTTATCTCTGAGCAAGAGTATTTCATGGAGATATTTATCAGAAGCTTATTCATTTGAAGTACCATAAGATTTGCATATGCAATTTAATATTCACATTAAAATTAAAATAAACAAGGAAAGTTAATTTTAATAATATATTTTATTTAAAAAATAATTTATTTTACAATGTAGATCAAAATAAGCTACAGTTCAAGTACTTAAGCTGTTAGAAATCTGATATATTCTGGATGTCTTGTCCTCCAAAGAGCTGAACAAAAAATAGGAAGGTTTTCAATCCAAGTTTTAAAATGTAAATGCATAATTAACCTCTTTTGTAGAAGTTTATTTCTGAGTAATCTGGTCTGTTCTCTAAAGAAATACTCATAAAATATTTTCCAACATTGCTTGTCCTCATTTGATTGAGATTATGCAAGAGATTGGTGTTAGGAAACTGGCGCAGTTGTAGCCAGGTGGCCGAATGGCCCAGCTACCTGAGCCAGGCTCCACCCCCATCCTAATGGGATTGGCTGCTCCTGCTTCCCTGCCCACCCTCAGGCAAAGTTTTAAAAGGGCCTGTTCCTGAACACATGCTCTCTCTGTCCTTCTCTCCTGCTCTTTCTCGGTTCCTCTCTCCAGCCTCCCCCTCTGGTCTCTTGGCTCTTGGCCCTTCTCTCCTGCTCTCTGCTCTATCTTCTCTCCTTGCTAGCTACTCTCCTCTCTGTTTCTCTCTCACAGTCTCCTCTCTTTTTCCTTCGCCGCCCCCTCACTCTGGTCTGTAGGGTGTTCCCCAATAAACCCTTTCCCTTACTCCGGTGTCCGGTGTGCTTTGCGACGGCTAACATTAAGATATAACAAGCATCCCATATGAGCACAGGTTCAAGTCTTCACTAATCTACTTGGCATCCAGCTCCCTGTTAATGCACCTAGGAAAGCGGCAGAGGATGGCATCCAAGTGCTTGGACCATGCCACCCATGTGGGAGATTGGATCTATTTCCCTTTCTCTCTGTCAATATATAAGTCAATAAATTATAAAATTTTCCTTGTATAAATTCCGTCTTGCCATTCAGTGAAATTACAAATAATATTTTTGGTAGAGGATCAGTGCAATTTTTTTTTGTAATTTTTTTAAATTTATTTGAGAGTCAGAATTACAGAGAGAGAAGGAGAGACAGAAAGAGACATCTTCCAGCTGGTTCACTCCTCAGGTAACAGCAACAGCTAGGGCTGGGCCAGGCCAGAGGCAGAAGCCAGGAGCTTCTAACAGGTCTCCCACATGGGTAACAGGGGTCCAAGCACTTGGACCATCTTCTGCTGCTTTTCACAGATCCTTAGCAGGGAGTTAGATCAGAAGTAGAGCAGCTGGGACACGAACTGGTGCCCATGGGATGTTGGCATAGCAGGTGGCAGATTACCTACTATACAACAACACTGGCCTCATATACAGTTCTTATAAAATTAAAAAAATTTCCAATGTAATAGTAATCTCTGATTGTCCATTATATGTCTCTATATAAATACAGTGTTCAAGTAAAATTAGAAAATAATATTTCTATCATATCTAGCAGTAGAACCAGCATGAAGACAGATCCTTTTGTCACAACCTAGTAAATACTGTATTGGAGACTGTAGCCCAAAGATAATTCCTATAACTTGGCAATGCAACAGAAAAAAATGAGGAATCAAGGAATTTAGATAAAAATGTTAATTTCTGAGTCTTATAGGCTACTTAACTAAAAGCTCTGGAATTCCTTCAAACTGATAGGAAAAGGAGAAGAGTGGTATAGGACAACAAAGTCATCTCCCACAGCAGATGGAAATTCAAGTGATTATTTCTGACTAACAGTTTTGGCACATAGGGTGTATATGAATATGTTAAGTGAAATGAACTAATAGTGTTCATTCATACTATTCCCTCAGTACCTTGCTGAGGACCCTTGGAGTTATATCCTGTCCAAACGGTTGGCTAGCCCAGCTCACCCATCTGGGTCAGAGTATCCAAAGTGTACCTAGAATTTCCTTGTATCATTCTGGAAACTCTAAATTCAAGTAGAATTCAGGCAGCCAAAGGATCCTTAATGAGAAGTTACACACCTGAAACCCTGTTGTCACAATGTCTGCTGACGACATAGGTTATTTTAGCTTAGTAACCATTGCTACTAAAACCAGTATTACTTCAATCCTGATTCTCATAGGCTACATTATCTTTGATTTTTTTAAAACTAAGATTATTTTGATTTTATTCCATGTTTGGAATAAAACTTGTAAACCTGTAAAAGGATGAGTGTAAATATTAATGAGAATGCAGCTTAAGCTATACTCTGGACATCTATAATATTATATTATTCTTCCTGTTGTTGGGAGCAATTCTGCTCTATTGAGAAGGGCTTATTGAAAAAGCTCATCAGACATAATGAAGTCTCAATCATACATGTCACACTTTGTTCAATATTGTTCATCATTAATGGTGAACTCTAGTATTTCAGGGCAAAAGATTATAGCTTCAAATATGGAAAACTGAGTCAATCACTGGTAAACTTAGGTCTGAGAACGTTTAGGATCTAATAATACACATAATTTAATCTGAGTCCCAAATTTTGCAATATTATGAAATTTTTGATATTTAAAAGTATTCTGATCATAGTTTGTAGCTTGCAGAAATTGATATACACTGGAAAATTCTAAATCTTAACACTCCTAAATAATTATTAAAACTAATATCTAACCTATGCACAGCCTTCATTTGCTTGTTTCCCCTATATTGATTGGGAAATCTGCCATATGTACTCTACTAATTGCTGTTATTTATTGGAAACCAGTTGTAATCTGGTAGGAGAAACTTGACAGATATTATTAATATTTCTTGAGATGGAAAAGGAATAGAAGTAGTAAAGATTTGATTATAGAACAAGTATTTAATTTTATGTATATTGGTTTTATGAATCCAGTGGAATGAACATGCAAGCAATAACGTTCAACTATGCACAAGAGCTAAATGAGTGTGGAGATCAAGTAACAGAGTTTTGATAACAGCTAGTAACTCATGGTTTATTGACGTGTTTTATGTTCCTAGCATTATTATATTTCCTAGCCTTAGAAAGGCTCATGAAGAGGTACTACAGTTTTCTCTATTTAACAGATGCTGAGACTGATGACAGAGGAGGTTAGAAATTTACAGAGTCATGTAGTTTACAAAGTGACAGGATATAGGGTTAAATATTTCTTACTATAAAGCCTGTATAATTTACTATTTCTGTGAACAACCTAAACCCAAGGAATGGGATTTTTTGCTTATTGGAAATTTAATCTCACCCTACAAATGACAAGGTAGCCTCTAAAAGTTCAGTGATAGGATTAGTAAAATGATACTTTAGACATGGAAGGATGGGGTTTCATAAAGGACATTGAATATTCATATAAGATAGTTGAAATATTCAATATAAATGAGTCCAGTCTTACCTTGCATACCAGTAGAATTTTGGTCAATGTTAAGAAAGGTTTCAGTAAGCTTTTGATCTTCTTCATGGCACTTCTCTCGAAGAGAGTCCACCAAGATTTGGGCCTTTTTGTGAGTTTTGGCATCATAAAACTTTTCCCTCTTCGCTTTCTCCAATTTTATCACTTTTTTTTTCACCAAATTATCCATAAAGCTACCTGCAATAGCTTTGCCCGCGGATTCCATCTCCTTAAGTACATCCTTGTATTCTGTTGGAAATAGAAGACACTTTCAACTATGGCACACTTCAAAGAGCTTTTCCCCTCACTGTAGACCCAGCTTTCTGTAATGAGAAATATCTATGAGAATGCTTTCTCTTTTACCATCTCCTCAAAAGCTAAGTATCTCTTTCATTACAGAGTTTTCTTGTCTTACCAAATTTATACCAGACTTTGTTGAATCATTCATTGCCACTTAAGGTTTCTGGTAACTTCTCATTTCCCTTCTGTGTCATTGGTTCTCATGCTGACTTGCTGATGATTAGTGTTTTCATATTTCTCTTTCTCATGCTCCCAGCATTTGATGACAATGACCCATCTAGAATGTATTCTCTGATGAAAGTCCATGATCTTGACTAGACTATAAATTCCTCTCACTAGATTTGAGCATTTTTCCATTTTTCTTTCCCTCTGGAATTTTTTTCTTCCCTGCTATACTTAAGTTTCTTTGGTGAAAGCCCTATGTGTTTGAATACACATCTTTTTACCTAAATGCTGTAGTCATGCTTCTGTGCTTAAAATGTTCAAAAGTGCTCAACTTCTTGCAAAATGCATGAATTAATGGTTAATTGAATTAACACATGTAGATTCCTGATTCTGTGAGATCTTATTCTCAATCAAAATTAAAAATTAAAAAAATCTCATAACTAATCTCCCATTTAGGTAGATTACTTTGATACAAACTTAATATGTCATAGGATGATTTAATTTTATAGGTATATATATATATATTAAATAAAGGTTTTATTTTAAGACTACAGATATTATTTGGACAGATATTATATGGGAAGCCAGGATATCTCATCAATTTTCACTTAAATTTATAAAAATCATTATTTAATTCCTCTTGATATAAGGATAAGTTTACACAAAATAACATATATAAATAAAATAACCAGGACATTGAACAAAAACATTGGTCCAGAACCAATTGTCTCACTGTTCATTTTACTTTGAATTATACTTTAAATAAATATTTATAGAGTAATTATGATGAGAAAAATACATGGAGGTTACAGAACATCAATAAAAGTTACCTAATAATAATTCATTTACCTAATGACTAAGAGAGAAATATACAAAGCAATGTAAATCATTATTACTGTTATTATTACTACTACTATTATGGTCAAGTTTCTGTACCAAATACTTTACAAATAAAAAAATATACTATACTGGATCCTCAAAATTAGCCAGTGGTATATTTATTATTTTCCATATCTTATAGATGAGTTAAATAACAAATTGCCCCAAATCTCACAAATTGGGATTAAAATCCTGTTCTTACATGACAAAGACACAGTTTCAGTAATAATAAATTCACTGAACCTCCATCATGCCAAATGTATCACATTAAACTTTTCACTGAAACATCAGAAAAACTCCATATGAAATGAATATTATTGTACCTCATACACAAAATACACACAGAGAAGTTAGTTTAGTAATTGACCGAAATAATGTGAAAAGAATACAAGATACATGGTATCAACCATGAGTTGAAACTCTGCTTCGAAATCCAGAAGTGTTAATAGATTCTGTGACACTCACTGAAAAGATGCTTAAGAGAATATGAACAAGATGCCACAGGGGCTAATAAAAGATGGGTAGATTCCAACAGATGAGATCAGAATGATTTCCTAGAAGTGACAGAATCACTTGTCTTGAAAGACAGTACACATATGTTAGAAAAGAGAATTTCGGCCCAGTGCTGTGGCCCAGCGGGTTAATGCCCTGGCCTGAGGTGATGGCATCCCATATGGGCACCAGTTCAAGACCCGGCTGCTTCACTTCCCATTCAGCTCTCAATTTAGGTCTCCCATATGGATGGCAGGGATCCAAGTCATACGAGCCATCACCACTGCCTCTCTGGGTCAGCATTAGCAAGAAGATGGAGTGAAGAATCAAAACCAGACAAACACAGACCAGGTCATCTACCTAAGAATTGTATATTTAAGATAAAGCTATTCAGGATCTGGAAGAAGGAAGTGACTACAAATTATTTATAAATTTTATGAGGTTCACAGATCTGATCCAGTCTCATCCTTCTAAAAGAAGGGGATGAGGTCCGAGCAGTCATATATGTTTGGTAGGAACTGCCTAAATAACAGATGATGGTAATGACTGTACGTTTTCAGGGTCTGTGCATGGCAGGTGATCTTTAAGTACTGTGCAGGATATAGTAGATGATGAATTCCCAGAGACAGGGAGGCTTAACTAGCAACACAACAACAACAAAATATAGCAGTCCAGGCAATATTGTACTAGAGTAGTTAGTAAAAGCACTAAAGAGAGAGGGAAATAAATGGAACTACTTGAAAGAGACCAAGGGTGTGATTCAGTATAAGGGTTAACAAAAGGTTGAGGATTCAAACCTTGGGTCTTACTCTGTGAGGAATTATGACCTGAATGACTAACTTGGAATCAAGAGGAAACAAAGAACATTTGAAAGTGTGTGTAGAAACTTCCAGGTTTGTCTGTTAAACAAGTTATTCTGTCTTTACCTTCCCTTTGATTATCAGAAACTGAAAGAAAGTATTTCACCTGTTTCTGGCTCAAAGATATCTGCATATTCTATCAAGGTCTCTGATGCTGAACACTGCAATTTGAGTTACAAACAACTATTAAGAGAAAGAATCTGGCTTGAACAGTGTCATTCCTGCTTGTTATATAGAGCAATGAATGAGAATTTTCTAAGACCCAGTCCTTAGCTCCTAGTGGGAAAAGGACCCCAACTTACCAGCCATCGGTAACAGCCTCAGTCCCTTCCTGCTGCCTTGAACAAAGCTACAGACTCAAAAATGAAAGTCACTGAATATTTCCTGAATATAGTGGGTGGGACATTTAAACAGACATTGTGAAATTGCTGCTTGGAACTTCCACACTCATGTTCGGGAAGTTCCCTGTATTTGTAAAATTGGTTACCTCATTTTGAACTCCAGTTTCTTCCTTTATGAAGAAAAACAAAATTACAGAATATTGTCTTGTACTTTGGAACCTTTGATTCTCCTTCTTAGCTTTTCTCTCTCCAAGTCCCCACACCACTTCCTCTCTATTCTTCTCGTGATTTCTTGTTTCTACTTATCTAAAAGTTCAAATCCTTAGGAAGTTATATCTTCGGGCCAGTGTTGTGGCATAATGGGTTAAGCCATTGCTTGGAATCCTGGCATCCCATATGGGTGCTGATTTGAGTCCCGGTTGTGCCACTTCCAATCCAGCTCCTTGATGATATGCCTGGGAAAGAGGCAGAGGATGGCCCAACTGCCCCTGCAATCATGTTGGAGACCCAGATAAAACTCCTGGATCCTGGCTACAGCCCGGCCCAGCTCTGGCCATCACAGCCATTTGGGCAGTGAAATTATCTCTCCTGCCCCTTCTCTGTAACTCTGCCTTTCAAATAAATGAAATAAATCTTAAATAAAGAAGTTGTATCTCATAGGCCTCCTTTAATTTGCAGAAAAAAAAAAATACCTTAAGTGTCCTTTTCCAGCTGTCCATCACTATGCATCTTCTCTCTGTCTCATCATTATCATTTTGTAAAAATAAATAAATTTATTTATTTATGTATTTATATAACAAGAACAGATTTCATGTATTTCACATACACAACTTTAAGAACATAATGGGCAGGTGCCGCAGCTCACTTGGGCTAATCCTCCTCCTGTGGCGCTGGTACTCTGGTTTCTAGTCCCGGTTGGGGTGCTGGATTCTGTCCCGGTTGCTCCTCTTCGAGTCCAGCTCTCTGCTGTGGCCCGGGAGTGCAGTGGAGGATGGCCCAAGTGCTTGGGCCCTGCACTGGGAAGGGAGACCAGGAGAAAGCACCTGGCTCCTGACTTTGAATCAGCGCAGCGCCGGCCATAGCGACCATTGCGGGGTGAACCAATGGAAAAGGAAGACCTTTATCTCTGTCTCTCTCTCTCACTGTCTAACTCTGCCTGTCAAAAAAAAAAAAAAAAAAAAAAAAGAACATAGTGATACTTCCTACCCTCCTTGCCTCCAGTCTACCCTTCCTCCTTCCTTTCTTATTTTTCTTTTAGTTGTTTTGATAACATATTTTGAATTTACTCTATTATCATAAGCTTATATGCTAAATAAAGAATTAAACAGTAGAAAGTGTATAAAGACCACTGTTCCTCAGGAGTATGGATAAGGTCTATATGAGATTTGATTATTGTTTATAGTCCCTGTTATCTTGATTTTTGCTGGAGATAGTTCTAAATATATATTCCTCCAGTTTTCCATCTGCTTTTCTTTTACTTCCTAAGAGTATCTGAACATTTAATTCTCACTCTGGGTGAATATTCACTTTTGCTTTTTGATATCTTCTGTACAAAGACTGATCAGAGAAGTATTTGAAGGCTGTAGTAGAATTAATGCATGATTGCACAGAACTGATAGGTCTAGAATAACAGCAGTAAAGGGGAAAACAGAATGCAGTGACCTATTTAGCACTGAACATTTTCACAAGGTCATAAATTCACTTTCACTTTTAATGAGTTTAGGGTTAACTTATTTGCACAGGAAAGTCATTTTTCCAGTCTTTCCTAAACCTAACATTGCTGAATAAATGATTTCACCCCAAATTTATTTTCACTGAACCACACAGGAACATCACATCCTAGTATTTATTATAGTTTTGCACTGTCTGCTAATTGTTTATTGTTTGTTCATTATCTTATCTTCTCAACAAGTCTGTAAAGTACTAGATTAGAGATGAATCAAAAGTGAATTTTACTACTGAAATACCTTCACCAAGGGGAGAAATACAGTTTTCATTATGAGTTTGGCAGCAATAAATTCTGGGGTTTGTAATAAGTCACCATACTATTCTGTCATTGTCATGACTCTCCCTTTTCTCTGCATCTCTCCTGCTTAGCTCTGTTTTTTGAAGTCACTTACCTACTACTATTTGCATCTGTCCTTAAAGCAGAAAGTCTAACAAATGTTTTCTAGAAAGAAAGAGTGGTGCTATTAGCCAGCTCTGCTTGTATGAATCAAGTTTTAGGACTCCAAATCTACTGCATGCCCCAAGTTTCACTTCTTGTTTTGCAGTGTAGAAATAATCCCAGGACAACATTTCATTTTTAATTTGTTTTATTAGATTGTTGAAAGAACTATCTATTTCCAACAGACATGATTCCAAAAACAGGTACAGGATGATAGCACTCTTGGCTTCCTATAGGAAAAGGAATCAAAAGAAACATAAAGAAAGGTATTCTAAAAGATATGCAAGTTATAGGATCAGTCACTCCACCAGTGGAGACATGCACATTCAGAAAAGGTGGCAGTCCATGGCATGTTTAAGTATTGTCCTACTGAGATGGAGAGGAGAAACATCCAAATTGAACATTCATGCCTTATGGCTACTTATTGACCTATAACAACTCCATAAAAAAGGGCATCTAAGGACTTTAAGGGAAGAACAGTATGTTCTGTGCTGAAGAGAAGATATCCATTCTATGTCCGTCCTTGATTATTAGATCTAGAAAACTTAACAAGGATGGAGTTTTAATACTCTTTTCCCAAACTCCTGCTAGCTTTCCACACACACACACACACACACACACACACACCCCTGCACATAGATGTCAATAAAACTTACGTATTTTAATGTCCTGGGAAGAGATAGAAACGTCTTGTCAATGTCACCCTTTCAGTGGTAGGCATCTGTGTCCTACCTTCTGGCAGTTCAAATGAAAATCGAACCTAAAAGAGAATGGAAAGCCTGTATACCTTTCGTTGGAGTGAATGATCTTTACTGAAACTGAAAAAGCCGCAAAGAATATGGCAAAATAAATGATAAAAGCAAAAAGCACATACACCTCTGAGAATCAGTAATATTGAAACATGGAATGACCTCCCAGACATATCTAGTCTGTTGCTAGATCTGGCAACTGTTATGGATGCAAGCAAACCAGAGCCTACTCATTTGTCTAATCAGGACTGGAAGGGGTGAAACAAATGACGGTTTTCCAGGTGTTACGGATAATAGATTAATCTGGCTTTCCAGTTTGTCAACTCACAAAAGATCATCAAACTTCCCTAGAAATAGTGGCATTATTATAAAATAAACAAAACGGACTGGCACTGTGGTGTAGTAGGTAAAGCAGCTGCCTGCAGTGCCAGCATCCCATATGGGTGCCAGTCAGAGTCCTGACTGCCCACTTCTGATCCAGCTCTCCGCTGTGGCCTGGGAAAGCAGAAGATGGCTCAAGTCCTTGGGCCCCTGCACGCACGTGGGAGACCTGGAAGAAGCTCCTGGCTCCTGGCTTTGGATAGGCTCATCTCTGGCCATTGCAGCCATTTTGGGAGTGGATAACCAGTGGATAGAAGACCTCTTTCTCTCTCTCTCTGCTTCTTCCTCTCTGTGACTCTGTCTTTCAAATAAATAAATAAATCTTTTTTTTTTTTTTTGACAGGCAGAGTGGACAGTGAGAGAGAGAGACAGATAGAAAGGTCCTCCTTTTCCGTTGATTCACCCCCCAATGGCCACTGTGGCCGGCGCATCACGCTGATCTGAAGCCAGGAGCCAGGTGCCTCTCCTGGTCTCCCGTGTGGGTGCAGGGCCCAAGGACTTGGGCCATCCTCCACTGCACTCAAGGGCCACAGCAGAGAGCTGGACTGGAAGAGGAGCAACTGGGACAGAATCCGGTGCCCCAACCGGGACTAGAATCCGGTGTGCTGGCGCTGCAGGCGGAGGATTATCCTAGTGAGCTGCGGTGCTGGACTATAAATAAATCTTGAAAAAAAGATAAGCAAAACATGTCCAGAAATGCACCCATAACAGTCCATCTGGAGAGCCAATATCCAGGGGATTAGAGTGCAAGGAGCATCTGGGGCCCTACCTTTCGGAAGATTTCCTCCACATCACAAGACCAGGCATATTCCTGCATAGTTTTGATGAGTCTCATAATGAAAAGTGAACCCTGTTTGGGATGTCGCCAAGAAACATTATCTGTAAGTAGAACACATTACAAATCTCATATCAGGCTCTAAACTGAATGCAGAGAGATAGCGTGAGTCTTTCCACAACACCTGGGGCATATTACTGAGTTCATCCTGTGTTTTATACTCTGCCTGCCATGTGTCACTGAATATTTTCAAAGTGAGTACATTTTTACTGATATTCAAAAATAGTATTGATTATGTTGTACATATTAGGGTGGCATTATTCCTAAACTGAAAGAACTACACTTCTACTAGACAGGCAGGAAAAGGCAGAATGGGGTAAAAAGAAATGATTGGACCCTTGATAAAAAATATCTCTGTGTGTATAAAGGGGTGCTACTTACTGCCTCTGAGCTATGTTAATGATAGTCTCTAAAGTAAAATTGTCAAGAGGTGGCACTAAATTTCTGCTATGAAGAGATATTTGAAGATTAGATATGATGTATCACAAATGTCTGGGAAAATATGGGATATAATAATCAGCCAATTCAATTTATTACATTAACTTCTGAACTTGCAAAATTCATAAGTAACTTAATTACAGTACTATTGACCATATATTTGTGAAGAAAATGTTAACTAAATACAAAAATGGTGCATACTGGACTGCTGAGTGATCCATACCCTGTGGGCCTTTTCTATGTAGAATCACACTCCAATTTACTTCGGTATAGATTCTCTTCCATTTACTTTTGTCTCATCTCTCAGAGTTCCAGGAAAAAAAATTGCAACATTGAGGACTTTACTAATTACTAATTCAGTAAACACATACATTTGGTCTCTGTGAATAATGGAAAAATTATGAGGAAAGCATGACCTGAGCTTCAATAATCTCATATAAAGTTAAACTCAGGTGGCCACATTAATGGGTGGGTACGAATGTCTGTATCAGTGACCATGACAAAGGTGTCCTGCACAGAACCCCATTACCTGGAGTTGAAGAGCAGAAAGCAATAAAATCCTTCTCTATGTGGGCTATCCTACTAGCATCATACTCAAAATCATCTGGATTCAGTAAAGATGTGTTTCCAGAATCTCCTATTGAATCCTTTAGCCACACTATTCCTTGGTTTTCTGGAAAGAGAAAACATTTGGTTTCTTTCTACTACCAAATGTCAAAAGAACAACTTTGCCTTTAAAGTTCTATTGAACTGTATTTGTTGACTTATTTATTTATGTCTTTCATTTATATATACACACAAAAATACCTTAGTATTTCATGGAAAAAGGGATGAAAGGATAATATGTATTTCCATAAAATTTTTATGCACATGTGCATTTCAAGAACCATCTTTTTAACAATTCTTATCTCTCTTAACCCTTAAGTGAATTCCAATGAGCTCAATAAATATCAGTTTCTCAAGAGTAAAAGTCATACTTTTTTGTTGAAAATGGAACAAATATCTATCAATCAGCCATACAATCCACAAACCACAATCTTAACTGGTTAATATTGGTGTTCTTTTAATATTAAGGACCAGATGCAACTAAAATTTTAAAAAATGGATATATCTAGATGATAAAGTCAATATCAGCATATCTTCTGTTCTATTGTAGTCATCACTCACCACCACGACAGGCTTGGATGATGATCACCTTGGGTTTGTCTTTCAAACTCTGACAGTTCTTGGTGTTTAACATCTCAAAGATGGTGTTGACATTCAGTATATCTGAGTATTGCTCAGAGTAATTCTTCCCACAAATACCATCTCTAGTACCATGAGACATGAACACTAGGAAAGTACTGTCAGAAGTCCAGTGCTCTGGGCGATCAGCAAAGGCCTTCAGCTCTGTAGCCATGTCCTGAAAGAAGTCAGACCACTAATTTGGACCATAGGATTCACTATCATGGCACCTTGGGAATCCAGTCAAGAGACATTTAAGGAATTCCATAAGGAATTTCATAAAAATCAGTTGAATGGAAGAGAAAACTTATGTCTCAATTGGGAGAATGGTGGAGAAATAAACCATTATATGAAATCATTCAAGAATTACTCATACAGGAAAGGGATGTTAGTAAATTAATAAAATACTTTAAAATACTAGGCTCTTAATAAAAGACTCTTGTTTTCAAAGTGGATACGTGGCATCAAGCATGAACCCCACAACAAATTTAGATGATAGAGTATCAAAATATTAAATTTCCTGATGCTATAACCATCATTCAACATTATTTTGAGAACGAATGGCATGACTATTGTCTTTTCAGTATTATAACCTTACCAAAGCATTGAGGTTTTCTTTCACATCTACACTGTATCCCAGACCTATCAGCAGCATCTTCATATCTCTGATATCAACATCAGCTCCAGTCCTTCTGGGGAGACTGTCAAACTCTGTGTTGCAGATAATGAGGGCAAGACGGGTGCGGCCTGAACTTTGCATTTTTATTGGATAAATCTATAGGAAACATAGATTGGATTTATAGTCAGGCTGTCTCTAATTAAATATTAATGTATGGGTTAAATACAGCTTCCCCTTCCTTAGTCTATCAAGAAACCACATCCTCTGAATCATATATTAAGACACAACTGACTATTACTACAGTAGTGGGAATGGAGTTTGAAATGCCCAGATGGTAGCTGAGCATCTGACTTTATAATCATTGACAGCTAGAATGTTAAAAGATGTATATACATTGAAATCAGAATGAATGAATTTTAAAACTGAATTGTTCACTTGCTGGTTGTTTAATTTTTGTAACATATTTAACAATCCCATGCCTCAGTTTTATGATCTCTAAAGTGGGATTTTTTTCTGATGGTTAAAGTTGTTATTGTACTTGTATGTAAAATGGTTAGAACAATGTCTGACTCACAGTAAACATGAAATAACTGTCATTGTTGCTATTATTATTTACTCTAGGAACTGGGACAAACTTAGAACTCTAAGCCTAGGATTTTAGGAGACAGGAATCCTGGATGTATTCAAAGCAGTGGGATGATTTTGCAAAACCACTCAACAGAATTGACTGTAAGAGCCACTGCACTCCGGAATGCACATTAGTGTATCTTCCCCCCCTCTATCCTGTGGTCTGAGCAGCAGCACCTCTTCTGACTTTTCTTTCCATATCCTTTGGGCTGTCTCTAGCGGGCAAAGCTTGAGACTTGGACCTGAGAACGTGAACACAACTTGGTTGTCCTGCGTAGTCTGTGGAGCTGAAAGAGATAAGAAACATTATGAATAATTACATCTTTTTTGTTTCCAGGACATGTTTCTCGCAGCATCTAGTATGCATGAAGTCACAGAGAAGGACTTACACCTTAGGAGGACAACCCTGGGTTAGTCCTTAACACTGTTGAGTGAATTCATGCTAACAGAACACATTGCAAACCAGAAGGGATTTCCAATCATGCGATACAGTGATCTGCTTTTATCTCTCAGGACTGCTATTTTTACTAACATTTAGGTTACACAGAAAGGAAGGTTTTAAGACCACTCATGATAAAAAACAATTTTAAAGAGTGTTAGAAAAATAGTTAAGGTATAAATTTATTTCAAAATGTTTAAAGCTTGGGATCAAATTGAATGGAGGGACATTCTAAGTAACTCTGCTAAAACATCCTTCTAATACATTAAAGCTATATGGCAGGTATGAGGATTATTTATTTTTAATGAATGAGCCTTTGTTCTGTCTTCCAGTATGACATTCTAATGGACATACATATTGGAAGAAAGAGAATTCAATAAAGGAATTAGAATGACTATGTAATAAATGATAAAATAAATATTCACAACATATGGTTTCATGAGGCCAGATATTGAGTTTTCAAAGTGTTTTATTTGAAGAAAAAATCCGAGTCTTTTATTTGACCACAAGTTCCACACCATCTGACGATGCAACATACTTGCTAGAGAAATTATGCAAACTTTTTCTGTTTCCAAATAGAAACTGATTTATATAGTCATTCAGGGAATCTTTTAGAATGAAACTATTACACTGAGAAAATTATACTCAGTTTTAAGAGGAATTTAGAGAAACTCCTGTGTATTCAGGAAGGTCAACCAACATCACATACTGTATGTTGAATATGGAGAAGATATGTGCTATTTAGAATAGATATAGAAATAGTCACTAGGTAGAAGAAATATTCTTATTCCTTAAAGGAGTCTGGGAAACAATAAAAATTAAATAGAAAGATTTGAGTTAGTTTAGAACTGAGTTTCCTTGGTGGAGGAAGGGAGCATTTGATTACATAGTGAATGTCTCAATTCATGAAATGTCTAAGAAAGCATGTATGTGATAATCACTTTTAACAGATTAAGTAGTATAATTTTAGAACTTGGTGAAATATTTGCTTCTATATTCTATAGATTTCTGTTAAATATATGATTCTATCATTTTAAGACAAAAATCACTTTTAGATTAAATTGTGCCTGAATTATGGATGAAAAACTGTTCCAGGACAAATAATGCACTGATTAGTTCATAAGAAAGAGGTTGGGCTCATTCAAAAAAAAATTTGCTAACAAGGAACCAAATGTATATTAACTGTGTCAGGACTCAATAAGGTTGAGCTCACTTTTTCAGGATAGAGTCCTGAAACTATTTTATAATATTTCTGTCAGCTAAAACCTAGGCTGTAACTGTGATACATTTGTTTCCAGTGAAAATTTTCCTGCTTAATTATTGTGGCAGAAATGGATAGCAACTGTTTATACCCAGTGTTTTCAAAACGCTCTCCTCTTCCTACTGAGTGGTTATTATAGAACAAGACTTAGAACTTAGTTGGCATGTGATAGTTTTGTTTTAATAGTGACTTAGTAAATAATGGTTATTTAGATCAAATCATTCAACAAAATGATCTTCCAATACACTATGATTGAATGCACCTTGTAAACCAATGATTCCTAGATAGAACCATACTTATGAGTCATACATGTTTACTTCAGTGAGAAAGTTTTAAACCCAATGAGAAAGAAGTAGTTTATAAAATGATAAGGGAAAAACATTATGAGTGACGGCTGGAGAAATACAGGGCATTGTAGGAACAGGATCTGTAAAATATAGTTATAGAAGTAGAAATGAAGCATGGAGGGAGGAATAAATAAACTTAGTCACTGTCTGGATGTTGGAAGTCAGGGTAAAGAAAGAGCTGAAGATGCATTGAGGGTTTCAGATGTGAATGACTGGTGATGGTGTCACCATAGACCAAGACAGGGGAAACTGCAAGGGAAGCAGTGTGGAGAGAGAAAGACAAGTTCAGCCCTGGGACTGATTTTATAAAACATATCTATGGAAGATATGAGCGATTGTGTTCAACAGGCACTTGAAAGTGAAATCTGGCACTCCAGAGGGATATTGGTTTGACTCCCAGATTGGGAATTTGTTACCTTAGATGAGGCTAGGGAAACTGGGAGCAATTTCTGCTCAAGCCAAATGGATTAAAAGGAGAAAAAGGCACAGGCCCAATCCATGAGAATCACCTGATTACCACAGCCCTCTCACCCTGGGTGCACACCATTAAATTAATGACTAGGAATAGGGAGTTCAAAGAATATTTTTCATCTGTACACACAGTTACCTGAAAAGGAAGAAAATGCTTCCAGAGAATCTTGTGCATTAAAATGGTTTTCAGATTGTGGACCTGTGGACAAGTGAAGGACATTAAAAGTCACTAACCATCTATGAAGAACTCTGCCCCAGTGCTGCTGTATACTCCTGGTGGAAATTTCTTTCCCTGAGACTCACTGCTTGATAATTAATCCTACTCAAGATGTTCCTCACTTGGATACACACTCCTCACTGAGAAACAACACTTGTGCACTGCCTAACTGGACAGTAACAACATTTGGAGTAGAACAAAAGAGGGTCTTCAAGTGGTGCACTTTACACTTGCCTTATATGATGAAAGTAGAATTCAGATATCCTCAGCCACAGAATCAGTAATTCTCTTGATCCACACATGTCGAAATGGCTGCTGGAGTAAACACTACTGCATAGCAGATGTGTACAAAAGAAAGCTGTCTAAATCAAAGGGGACTTTGGCATCAGAGTAAATTAATTGAAAAAGGCATCTATGCTTGGACTCCTGGCCTTTCTAAGAATTATCACAGTAGAAAATGGTGAGGTGACCAGTTGCTGAAATCAGGGGCTTAAAGATCCTTGTCTAGTTTCAATCTTAAAATAAACAGGTAACAGAATCTGCACATCAGAGAGATGTGAGGTATCCCAACGTGTTTTAGTCCACTTGTAGGAAGGAAAGGTTAATAGAAATGTCTTCTTCATCTCAGAAACACAGATATGTGTGCAAAGCCAATAAAATCTCCTCATGAAGTTCTGAAAAACCTTTCAAATTTATTCCCCATTAATATTAATAATCTTCTCTCTGATGAACCAGCAAAATCTCCAATGTCCAGAGACATTCCTGACAAATGGGTTAGATGATTTAATAAATTTAGTGCTAGGATATAGAAGACAGTTAAAAAGAAAATATTCTGTAGAATTTACTATAGAGATTCAATTCCATAATCATTCTCTATTCACTGTATTATGTTCTCTATTCTCTTTGCTATATCTACATGCTTTCTGTAATGTCACTGTAAATATCAATAGGAATACAATTACTAATACTATAAGTATCTGGATGGGCCCTTTATAGATGTTAACTCATTAGCACACTATTTCAGAAGGGTAAAGAATGTTTCATAAGTGTCATTGGGCAAAACAGTATTGGAGCCAGAATATGAACAGAGATCTTTAGATATATTTATTGGACAGGAACACCAACCACAATCTTACTCTCCCTGCTAATTGAAGCCATATACCTGTTAGTACTTTAATACATAACCTGGAGGCTGGCACTGTGGTGTAGCTGATTAAGCCACTGCTTGCACCATGTGGGCACAGGTTTGAGTCCTAGCTGCTCCACTTCCATTCCAGCTCCCTGCAGTGGAGGATGGCCCAAGTGCTTAAGCCCCTGCACCTGTGTTGGAGACCAGAAGCTCCTGGCTCTTGGCTTTGGCCTTGCCCATCCCTTGCTGTTGCAGCCGTTTAGAGAGTGAACCAGTAAATGGAAGACCTCTTTCTGTGTCTCTACGTCTGTGTGTGTAACTCAGCCTTTCAAATAAATAAAAATAATAAATCTTTTTTTTTAAAAAAATTGATAATCTGGGGGAAAAAAGTACAAATCCTGAGATAAACTATTTAGTTTCATAAAATAGCTCAAATCTAATGTTTTTTTTTTTTTTTTTTTTTTTTTTGACAGGCAGAGTGGACAGTGAGAGAGACAGACAGAGAGAAAGGTCTTCCTTTGCCATTGGTTCACCCTCCAATGGCCGCCGCGGCCGGCGCGCTGCGGTCGGCGCACCGTGCTGATCCAATGGCAGGAGCCAGGAGCCAGGGGCTTTTCCTGGTCTCCCATGGGGTGCAGGGCCCAAGCACCTGGGCCATCCTCCACTGCACTCCCGGGCCACAGCAGAGAGCTGGCCTGGAAGAGGGGCAACCAGGACAGAATCCGGCGCCCTGACCGGGACTAGAACCTGGTGTGCCGGCGCCGCTAGGCGGAGGATTAGCCTAGTGAGCCGCGGCGCCGGCCTGTTTTTTTTTTTTTTTTTTTTTTTTTTTTTTTTAGAAAAAATATTATTTCTTTCTTTGAAAGGAAAAATTACAGAGAGGGATATGAGTAGAGACAGAGAGAGAGATCTATCTGCTAGTTCAATCCCCAAATGGCTATGACAGCAGGGGCTTTGTCAGGCAGAAGTCAGGAGCCAGAAGCTTTTTCTGGGTCTACCATATGGGTGCAAGGACCCAAGGGCTTGGGCCATCCTCCACTGCTTTCCCAGGTACATTAGCAGAGAGCTGGATTGGATGTGGAGCAGCCAGAGCTGGAACCAGCACTCATACAGGATTTCAACAGGGCAGATAGCAGTTTAACCTGCTACACTACAGTGCCAGCCCCCTATTGTTTGTATTTCTGTCAGGTTCTGGATTGCAAGATCAGGATTATATTTAATTTTATTTATAATTTAATAAAGATATCAAAATAACAATTCCTGAGAAATGTATACCAGAAACATTAAGAATTGACATGAGGGGCCGGTGCTGTGGCGCAGCAGGCTAAAGCCCTGGCCCGAAGCACCAGCATTCCATATGGGCGCTGGTTCTAGTCTCAGCTGCTCCTCTTCCCATCCAACTCTCTGCTATGGGCTGGGAGGGTAGTGAAGGATGGCCCAAGTGCTTGGGCCCCTGCACCAGCATGGGAGACCTGGAGGAGGCCCCTGGCCCCTGGCTTCGGATCAGCTCAGCTCCAGCCATTGCAGCCATCTGGGGAATGAACCAATGGATGGAGGACCTCTCTCTCTGTCTCTGCCTCTCTGTAGCTCTTTCTTTCAAATAAATAAAATAAATCTTTATTTTAAAAAAAAAGTATTGACATGAGTTTAAAAATGAGGAATAGTCCAAGTCTACATTTCCTAGCAGTTATTGAAGATTAGATTTCTGCAGACAAAATAAAATTGATTTCCCTCTTCGGAGTGGAGGAAGAGTCACAGGTTGTTCCACAAAACTTCATAGCCAGAGAAACAGGCTACAGTTTGCCACACCTTTCCTAATGACTGCTGGACTTTCTTTGCCATCGATAAATCCAAGATCATTTCTTGGAGGAGGCCTTGTTGTAGTAGAAGTGGACTGACCAAAGCTTCCTTTTAGGAAGTTCTAACCCATTATAATGCATTCATATAATATGTGTAATTGCTATCTGCAATGACCCTGAAAATAATCTCTGAACAAAAAGATGCCATCTGATAAATAGATAGGCAGACTGCAGGTGCTAGATCTCACAGTGGATTGTGCAGGTACCTCTAAGATTCAAAGACTTTGTGTTGAAAGGAATGGGATAGAGAAGAAAACACCTTGTCTATAATTTTTAACAGTTATTTGCCTGAAAAGCAGAGTGAGTGAGAGGGAGATAGAGAGAGAGAGACTGAGAGAGAAGAGAGATATCTTCCATCTACTAGTTCCCTCCCCAAATGGCAGCAATTGTCTGTGCAGAAATCAGGAGCCAACAGCCAGCAACTTAGGTCTTTCATGTGGGTGGCAAGTGCTTGGGCCATTTCTGCTGCTTTCTCAGGAGCATTAGCAGGGGCCTAGATTGGATGTGGAGCAGTAGGGACTTGAACCGGTGTTCATATGAGATGCACACATCACAGGCAGTGGCTTAATCTGCTGTGCCACAACTAGCCCCATTACAATCATTTTTTATCTTTGTTTTATTTATTGGTATTGCATTTGTGGGATTGTGTAGGACATACAATGAAAAATGGATATTAAAAGAAAAACAAGAAATCGATTACAAGAAAATGAGCACATAAAGCATCACAATGTCAGGTTAGACAGGTATAAGCTTTCACTAGGCCCTAGAAGGAAAAATTATTTTTTGAAAGAAAATAAATCTTGCATTGGGTCCTCACGGGGACTGAGGGTGAAGATGGTAGGTCTCACAGAATTTTCTACAGCTGGTACTCTATTAGTTCACAACTTTCCTCAAAGCAGGGGGGGAGAGGGGGACACACGACAACTGGAAGACAGAGTTCACTTAATATCCTTAATTTGAAAAAAATTCAGCTTATTTTCTTACTGTTCTACCATCACTGAAATAAAGTCTTCAAAGAGAGCAAAAATTTTGAAAAATATTATAAAATGTCTTGGATGACAGAATTTAAATCTGATTAATTACATAAGCATGTAGTACTCTGTACTTAACAAAACTATTTAGTTAATAATACTAATAATGTACTTGGCCTAGAGGACTAGAGTAGATAATATAAAGATTTTCAGGCTGATCAAATGAACTTCAACAAATGAGCCACCACATAATCAGGACAGGAATTGAACTTCAACCCAAAGAAGGCCATCAGCATGGACACAACATAAACAAATAGCATACAATGGAGTCACAGGCATTGAAAATGTTGCCCTGAAGTCAAACAAGGAAGCTGTGTGCAAACTAACATGACTAAGAATGTGCTCAGATGTTGGGCACAAAGACACAGGCCTATGTGAATTTTGTCTGAGACATTGACCCTTACCTGAGGAGAGCCCCAGCAGTCCTGCAAGGTGACAGTCATCTTCACAAATGTGGTTGATGCAAATCTGGCATGCCTGGGGCCCTTTCCGAATGACACAGTCCAGCAAAGCCCGGGCCTTATCCATAACTGTAGCATTTTCAACTCTTACTTTCTCCATCTCTTCCTGGTTCAGCACTCTTTTCTCCAACAATTCATCCAGTAAGCCATTTATTGTACCTGTGCCCACCGAGTTGATAAACCGCTTCCTCCTGTCCTTTAGAATCCTGTCTGGAGCACAGGGATTTTTCAAGTCATGAAAACAGCCTCGTGTTCCTCTCATGTCTCCAACAGGAAATGGCCTCCTCTGAGTTTTATCAGCAGTGCAGCCCTGTCCACACAGTCCCTTCTCTTGTTCTATTGTTGCCCCCAAGCCCCATTTTAAAAACTCTATATTGCCCTATATGCTAATGGAGTAGCCTGGAGACTGAGCTTTACAATCTTTATGTTAGCACCTGGAAAGGAGAGATAATTTTTTCTTGATCTATTTTTATTCAGCTCTGAATAATAAAATAATGAAATGGTGGTAGCCTATTTTTTTCTTGAAGGACAACGGATACTGTCTCATTCTGTGCCAGCTCTGCATGCTCCCTGTCAGACTTCTGATACTAAGAATTCAGTTAAGATTGCAAAACATCACTTGTCAGCCTTTTAGCTAAGATCAAGTGTAAGATTGCAAAATAACAGCAGAATGCCAGTGAAGCCCCAGCTCCTTTTTAGCCCTTGCCTTTCGTTCCTAAAAGCTGTCTCTTCCCTACCTGTTCCTCATCCTGTCCCTAAGTCTGCTCTGCTAAATGTCTTTAGAATCTAATTATGGCTTCAAGAAGAGCCAGCCCTTTCCAAAAGCATTTCTTCTCTAAGACCCATCTTTTTAACAGGAAGACACTCACCAGCCATGGCTTTTCTCTTCTACTCTCGGGTGTGGTAAGAAACTGAAAGCACTTCCCACCTTCCTTTTTAGTGGCCTGTGTACGCAGATTGAGAAATACCCACTGAACATATATATGCATGCCTGTATTTCTTCCCCAAAGAAATAACTAGATTTCTATCATTTAAAGTACCCCAAGGGGTGTATTCTTAGAAAAATTTATACAAAGTATTTGCAAGAGATCAGGGTGGGTAGAGAGTGGGGCTTGGAGATTAAGAAAGGAATGAGAAAGCTAACTGAATTTCATGAAACTTAGTCAAAGAAGAATCTCCTGTTCATTAGGAAGTGTGATACAGAAAAGTCACTTACCCTTCAAAGAAGTTCTTACCCTTCAAGGAAGTTAAAGTTAGTCTTCCCATTAATATGCCACACCTAGGGAAAGAGTCCTAGGAACTGTACCTGTGACTACTTTTGCTCTTAGGAGTGGAAACATTTTCACCAGAATGAAATCTTTTCTCATCGATGGCTCCACCTTTTCAGATGGCTCTCTTTTGAGGGCTCAAACTCTGAGCTCAGAATCTTGGACTTAGCATTCTAACTTTGCCTCTTGGGTAAGTATCGAACTTTTCTCTGTGTTGGTTTCATTAGGTGTAAAATAATTTTTTTCTTAGTTCATACATATAGTTTTAACCATAAACAAATGAAAATTAGGAAATGCTTAGAACATTTCCTGATACATGTGAAGATTATATTAAATGGTAGCATTATATTTGAAATAAATATTACACACTAAAAAATTTACCAAAGTTAGTAATTAACAGATCATCTAGTTATCTTTTGTAAAATCCCTCATGTACCTTATCCACTCATTAATCCTGCAAATATTCAAATATTCTTCAAAGAGTTCATGGAAAATACATATTATGAAGATCATACTTGCCTTCTAATTTTTTTACAACAAAATAAATTTTCTTTGTAATTCTTTCTCCAAGAACAGTTGGAGTTACCTCCAGTATGGAAGACTAACTCCATGCCAGACACTATTTAGGTATTAAGTGGGTCTAGTCTAAACAGACCTGGTGCCCTGTGTTATATCTTAATGTTAGCCGTCGTAAAGCACACCGGACACCGGAGTAAGGGAAAGGGTTTATTGGGGAACACCCTACAGACCGGAGTGAAGGGGCGGCGAAGGAAAAAGGAGAAAGAGAGTATAAGAGAGAGAAACAGAGAGGAGAGGAGCTAGCAAGGAGAGAAGAGAGAGCAGAGAAGAGGAGAGAGGAGAGCAGAGCCAAGAGACCAGAGGAGGAGGCTAGAGAGAGGAACCGAGAGAGCAGGAGAGAAGGGGCCAAGAGAGAGCACGTGTGCAGGAACAGGCCCTTTTAAAACTTTGCCTGAGGGCAGGCAGGGAAGCAGGAGCAGTGAATCCCATTAGGATGGGGGTGGAGCCTGGCTCAGGTAGCTGGGCCATTGGGCTACCTGGCTACAACTGCGCCAGTTTCCTAACACCCTATACCTATAGCCTCATATTCTAGAGGGGAAGAAAAACATGGGCCCCAGGATGTGACTGGACTATTCAGAATGTAAGACTGAGGTAAATGTTTAGAAAAAAATTAATTAGGAAAATAAGTGATGAAATATTATGTGACATTAAAATTATAGATAGAAGAGATTGGGAAAGCCTTAAGAAGTCATTGCTTTTTGAAAGCACATGTTTAATTGATTATCCAAAATAAGCTCACTGAGGTCAATTTATTGATATATTTGATAGAAGCTAGATTAGTAACCAAATATAAATGTTCTTCAATTTTATCAACATTTTTCAAAAAAATACTCATAGGATTAATACCTTATTATCTTAGAAGAATTATGACCCAGAGCCACTGAAATGCACGCTTTTTGTGTTAATGAACTCATGTCTACATGTACATACCTGGAACATATAAAAAGTATTGACAGCTGTGTTACTATTGTTTTAGAATTATACAATTCAAAGCAAACACCTTTCAATGAAAGGCCAGCAGTTTAAATTCCTATGATCTAGGCTAAATGTTAAATGTATTTTAGGTAGAATGGGGTTCACGGTGTAGAGGGTTAACTATATAGATTTTAGTCTTCAGAGTTTCTCAGCATGTTTTCATCTTTATTGCTTAGCAAATCTATTTGCATCAGAATGTAGTGCTTCTTGTCACAGAGATGACTTACAGCATAAATGTAAGGCAAACATTTCACGCACATTGTTTCTTTCATTCCTTTGCTTATTTTCCTGAATACTGTAAAGATTTCACATGAGGATTTCTCCACTAGCCAAGCCTACACATCAATGTGCAGGCACAGAAAGAATGGCCAGGTCTTCTATCTTGGAATATAGAACCATAAACATAATTTCTACCTCCTGGGAAGGTAGATGGAGAGCCACTGTCCCCTAAAGAATTAATATGCCAAAGGCTGTTGTTGTGGCTCAGTGAAACACTGCTTATCCTATCTACATCCCATATGAGAGCACTGCTTCATGTCGCAGCTACACTGCTTCCCATCCAACTTCCTGCTAATGCTCATGAGAAGGGAGTAGAAATGACAGTATGTGGGTCCCTGCCACCATCATGTAGACCCAGATGGAGTTCCTGGCTCCTGGCTTTGGCTCCTGGCTTTGGCCTGGACCAGCCCTGGCTTTTGTGGTCATTTGGTGAGTGAAACAGCAGATAGAAGATCTCTCTCTTTCTTTCTCTCTCTCTCTCTCTCTCTCTCTCTCTCAACCCCCCTCCTTCCCCCACACAGTTTTCTCTCTGTGTCACTCTACCTTTCATATAAATAAATAAATAAAATCTTTCAAAAATTAAGATGTTAAAAACTGCAAAATTAAACAACCAGTTTAGGTTAATATGTAAACAAATTGTGAAGTATAGATATTGCATACCACCCAGACATAAAAAGGGAACAAATTACTGGAAAATACAATAGGAAAACACCATGCTATTATTATGAGTGAGTGAAGCCTTCAACAAAAGAACACATACTCTATGATTACCATTGTATGGATTGCTTGAATGGGTAGGACTGATGTGCTGTGGTGGAAATGGGATTACTAATTGTCTGAAGAGGAGGTAAAGGTAAAGTGAGGGCAAAGGACTTGAGCAAACTTTCTGGGATGCTGAAACTGTTATGCATCTTATATGACATAGAGTTGTATCAGAACATACACAGAACATTTTAAATCCCTAAAAGAGATGTGTTCTGTTGACAAATTATACTATACTATAATCACATTACATTTTAAAATAAAAGATTAATGCTTGTAAAAGTAGATTGGAATGGAGAAGATTTTCTTTCCTTTGATTTTTTTGACACTAAAATTTCCAGAAATCAGGGGAAACTGGTAAGAGGAAGAGGGTCTTGTAGTGACTGAAATGCAAATACCTACCACTTTATAGTTTGGTTGGGATTTCTAGACAGACTGGAAATAATTTGTATGGGTAATTGGTAGAAATTAGTTTATTAACTAAGATATGTGCCAGGGACATAGTGTTATATATACTATATAACAATAATTTGAAAGTTAAGAATGTGGCAGTTCTCCTGTAACTAATATTTTATCTTTTTTGAAGTTTTACTTACTTACTTGTTTTATTCAGAAGGCAGAACAACAAAGAGAAGGGAGAGAGAGAGAGAGAATGAGAGAGAGAGAAGGATATTCCACCTGCTTGTTCACTTCCCAAATGCCTGCAACAGTCCATTCTGGGCCACAGGGAAGCCTGGAGCCAGGAATTCTGTCAGCAGTGGTAAGGGCCCAAACATTTGGGCCATCTTCTGCTGCCTTCCTAGGTATATTAGCAGGGAGCTGGATCAGAAGGGGAGTAGTTGGGACTCAACCATCAGCACTTCCATGGGAAATGCCAGCATCACAACAAAGGATTAACACACTACACCACACTGCTGGTTTAAACTAGTAACATAGAGGGGCTAAAACTAAGTGCATATCATGAAAAGCTCTGATGTAGAAGTCAGAACATCCCTGTGATTGGTTTCTGGTTGTTCCATTTTCAACATTCAGTATGTCACTTGCCCTCTCAGGTTATCCATCTCATATTGTTCATATTTTTAACTGTGAAGATATTTTAATTAATACAACAACGAGGATATTAAATATCTCTAATATTTTTATGTTGTCTATCTCTAAATCCTCCCGTTCTATACAGATTATCCACATAGACTTGGGAAAATATGAGTTCTAACTTGACTTCCATTTATTAGTTGTACATCTCGGGCAAGTTATTTAATACAAGCCTTCATTTCCCTATCTGTATGAGGGGACTCATCATCATTCTTACTTTCTAGAATGGAACGCCAGGTGTAAGAGCATACTATAGCACCTACCATCTCTATTTGTCATGAGCTGTAGCCCAGAAGCAAGGAAATGTGGAAATATACGTCTTTGAAAATGTTTCTCAATATTTCTTAAGTCTAATTTCAGGGCCCATCAAAACAATTTTGTAAATTATGAAAGTTAAACAACCATTAATTGTTGTTATTATAAATAAGAGGGCCAGGTAAAAATTGATTCAAAGATTTGATAACTACAAGTTGCCAGACATAGGGTGAGAAGTCAGTTGTACCCCACCCATGATACTTGCTTTCTGTCATGTGTCAGTCTTTCATTTGGTTCTATGCTCGGAGCTATGGTTTATTCAATAAGTATTCAAAAATGGGTTTAGTTGGGCGCAAAAACTTGAAATACATGGATAGTTATTTCACAATATGCTTATACATGAACTTTTAAAGACGCTCTCAGATAAGCAGCAGTTAGGACTATGTACTTGCTTTATGGAGTTGAAGATAGTGTAGAGGAGATAAAGTAAATGCATGGAGAAGAATTACAATGGCAATAAAAGAGGGCATAGATGAAAGTACTGTGAGATATCAGAAGAAAGTCAATTGCACATGGTCTGGAGCAAGCATGGAAGACTGCTGCAAACCGGCTAGACACTCTGCAGATCCAAGATGCAAGTGTCTTGATTATAATGAGAGAAGAGAAAACGAAACACTTACTGAGACATTTCTGTGTTCTAGATACTGAGGTAGATCCT